CCTAGTCCAAAATTGAAAATGTATTTCCTACTTGGTTCTTTGCTCAAAAAATTTTTTGAATGTTTTATTTGTATTTGTTTTAAGCACTAGAATATTTATGAAAAGTTTCAATCCATTTGGATAAACCCTCGAAGAAAAAAGGTGACAAAATTGATTTTGACTAGGGTCGCCCCTAGTCCAAAATTGAAAATGTATTTCCTACTTGGTTCTTTGCTCAAAAAAATTTTTGAATGTTTTATTTGTATTTGTTATAATCACTAGAATATTTATGCAAAGTTTCAATCCATTTGGATAATTCCTCGAAAAAAAAGGTGACAAAATTGATTTTGACTAGGGTCGCCCCTAGTCCAAAATTGAAAATGTATTTCCTACTTGGTTCTTTGCTCAAAAAATTTTTTGAATGTTTTATTTGTATTTGTTTTAAGCACTAGAATATTTATGAAAAGTTTCAATCCATTTGGATAAACCCTCGAAAAAAAGGTGACAAAATTGATTTTGACTAGGGTCGCCCCTAGTACAAAATTGAAAATATATTTCCTCCTTGGTTCTTTGCTCAAAAAATTTTTTGAATGTTTTATTTGTATTTGTTTTAAGCACTAGAATATTTATGAAAAGTTTCAATCCATTTGGATAAACCCTCGAAAAAAAGGTGACAAAATTGATTTTGACTAGGGTCGCCCCTAGTACAAAATTGAAAATATATTTCCTCCTTGGTTCTTTGCTCAAAAAAATTTTTGATTGTTTTATTTGTATTTGTTTTAAGCATTTGAATATTTATGCAAAGTTTCAATCCATTTGGATAAACCCTCGAAGAAAAAAGTGACAAAATTGATTTTGACTAGGGTCGCCCCTAGTCCAAAATTGAAAATGTATTTCCTACTTGGTTCTTCGCTCAAAAAAATTTTAGGATGTTTTTTTGTATTTGTTTTAAGCACTAGAATATTTATGCAAAGTTTCAATCCATTTGGATAAACCCTCGAAAAAAAAGTGACAAAATTGATTTTGACTAGGGTCGCCCCTGGTACAAAATTGAAAATGTATTTCCTACTTGGTTCTTTGCTCAAAAAAATTTTAGGATATTTTATTTGTATTTGGTTTTAAGCACTAGAATATTTTACAAAGTTTCAAACTATTTGGATAAACCTTCGAAGAAAAAAGTGACAAAATTGATTTTGACTAGGGTCGCCCCTAGTCCAAAATTGAAAATGTATTTGCTTCTTGGTTCTTTGCTCAAAAAAATTTTTTTCATCCAAAGTTTAATTTAACTAGTGTATCGGGTAGAAACCCAATGCGGATTATATTCACACCGTACTATCATAAGTCTTATGGATAGACCAAGATTTGCCCATCATAAGTATGAAGGTATGAAGCTTGATAAGTCAACTAAGCTTCGCTCAGCATAAGTTTGAAGTTATAAAGCTATCGCGTAAGCTGAGCTACGCTCAGCATAAGTTTTAAGATATGAAGCTAGAGAGGCAGCTGAGCTTCGCTCAGCATAAGTTTGAAGTTATAAAGCTATTGCGTAAGCTGAGCTACGCTCAGCATAAGTTTGAAGATATGAAGCTAGAGAGGCAGCTGAGCTTCGCTCAGCATAAGTTTGAAGTTATAAAGCTATCGCGTAAGCTGAGCTACGCTCAGCATAAGTTTGAAGATATGAAGCTAGAGAGGCAGCTGAGCTACGCTCAGCATAAGTTTGAAGATATGAAGCTAGAGAGGCAGCTGAGCTTCGCTCAGCATAAGTTTGAAGTTATAAAGCTATCGCGTAAGCTGAGCTACGCTCAGCATAAGTTTGAAGATATGAAGCTAGAGAGGCAGCTGAGCTTCGCTCAGCATAAGTTTGAAGTTATAAAGCTATCGCATAAGCTGAGCTACGCTCAGCATAAGTTTGAAGATATAAAGCTAGAGTGGTAGCTCAGCATAAGTTTGAAGATATGAAGCTAGAGAGGCAGTGGAGCTTCGCTCAGCATAAAAGGTATAAAGGTATAAAGCTTAACGAATATGCCAAATATTCTTTAAAAGTTTTTTAAAAAAATTTTCGTTCAAAGTTGAATTTTATAAAAATCACAGTCAACTTTTGTTTTAAAAAATTCGTAAGAAAGGAAAGTTTTTTGCTTTTTCTGAAGCAACGGTTATTCCTACCTTGCCTAAAAACAATACAGCTCTTCTATAGAGCAGCACGGATCAAATGTAAAAAACTAGAATTCTCTACAATGTCTTGTTATTGAGATTTCTTGCTGATTAACTTGCTTGTTTGCTTACTTACAGAAAGCGTATTTTGCGATTTTCTCAGCAATGCCACAACCAATTTGAAATCTGTTTTTTGAAAATGATGTAAAATTTCAGGCACAAACTTTTCTTCTTGCCCTTTTATAACCAATTTTGCTTTGTTTTCTCACAAAATGCGAAAAACTGATTTTTCAATCTGAACAAAACCAATAGATTCACACGTGAAAACGGTGTGAATATAAAAAAAATCACAGTGAACTTTTAATTTGAAAAATTCGAAAGAAAGGAAAGTTTTTTGCTTTTTCTGAAGCAACGGTTATTCCTACCTTGCCTAAAAACAATACAGCTCTTCTATAGAGCAGCACGGATCAAATGTAAAAAACTAGAATTCTCTACAATGTCTTGTTATTGAGATCTCTTGCTGATTAACTTGCTTGTTTGCTTGCTTACAGAAAGCATATTTTGCGATTTTCTCAGCAATGCCCCAACCAATTTGAAATCTGTTTTTGCAAAAGATGTGAAATTCAAGGCACAAACTTTTCATCTCTTAACATTTTAAGCTATCTTGCTCCATATCCTCACAAAATTCAAAAAACTGATTTTTCAATCTGAACAAAACCAATAGATAAAAAAATATAAAAAGTTTGTGCCTGAAATTTTACATCTTTTGCAAAAAACAGATTTCATATTGGCTGCGGCATTGCAGAGAAAATCGCAAAATACGCTTTCTGTAAGCAAGCAAGCAAGCAAATTAATCAGCAAGAAATCTCAATAACGAGACCTTGTAGAGGCTTCTAGTTTTATACATTTGATCCGTGCTGCTCTATAGAAGAGCTGTATTGTTTTTGGGCAAGGTAGGAAAAGCCGTTGCTTCAGAAAAAGCAAAACTTTCGTTTCTCATGAATGTTTTAAAACAAAAGTTCACTGTGATTTAAAATTAAACTTTGAATGAAAAAAATATTTAAAAAACTTTTAAAGAATGTTCGTTAAGCTTTAAACCTTCTAACATATGCTGAGCGCAGCTCAGCTGGTTCGTCAAGATTTATACTTTCAAATTAATACTGAGTTAAGCTTGGTCTTTCCACAAGACCTTTGATGGTAAGGTGCGAATATATCCGCATTGGGTTTCTACCCGATACACTAGTTTTGTTATTAAAAAAGTTACAGGAAAACAAAAATGCATTTTTAAATACATATCAAACTTTATAAGAAAATTTGATGTAATTAGTCGACATGTAACATTTTTGCAAGATATATAGATTAGATCATACAAAGGATACTCGACCCAATATATACATAAATATGTCGTCAGACAAAATAATAATTCTTAAATTTAAGTCTATCATAAGAAGAGAAAAGAATTAAATGATCATCATGGATCATTTAAAGCCATTAACACGCATTAAGAAAAAAAAACATCGAATATGATGTAGTTTAAAAAAAAACTATACGATCTACATTTGAGCAGCATCTTATCTGCACTTTATATGGTAAAAATCATCTGCATTATACCTTTTTTAAAGCAACAGCATTTCATCTGCATTTTAGGGAAAATAAATTTGATCTGCACTTTAGCAGTACCATCTGCATCTTGGCAGTACTATCTGCATTTTAGGGTAGCTGCATTTTAGGGATTTTTAGATTGAGGTAGTATCTCATACAATTAGTGTTCAAAAGAATTGACACGAGAATATATTTCTTTTTTTGTTGTAAATTCAAGTAAATCAGAATTCTAGATAGAGCTAAAGCTAGCTCAGTTTGTAGATATTTGTTAAACCTTCAATTCATTAAAAAATACGACGGTCACAGAAAAAATAGTAAAATTTATACTTAAAAAGTGATTTTTAATGAAAAGTTCGTTGTTGTACGAAAAAGTTTGAAAAAACTGTTCTTACATTCAACAGAATCGTTAATAAATAAAGAATTTTTGTTTGAGCTCAGCAAAAGTTAAGAACAGATCATTTCTATAAAAGAAAATTAAAAAATAATCTTGACATAAAAATAAATAAGACTATTAACTTCATGTTTGATCTCAAATCTTTTTCAAAAAAAACATTTATGATTTTTCCTATCCAGTGATTCTTTTTAGAACTGATGAGACTATTATTTTACCTTTGAAAAATTGAGAATACATGAATTTATGATACTGATCTTTCTATGGAATTTCGCTATTCCATTCATTTTTAAAAATAAAGTTATTAGTGAAGTCGCAAATAAAAAGTGAAGGAAAATCTAATAAAAAATTTATGAAGTAATCATAATATAAATCTCAAATTTGAAGAGATGCGAATGTAGGTGTGATTGGTAAATTTAGACATTTAAAGTGGAAGTGATAAATGAAATCAAAGCAACCTTCAAAAGACCTAAACTTAAGATAGATGATTCTTGAAACTGAAAACAATTTGTTTCCTTATCTCATTTTTAAAACTACGATTTTGCTACAAAAAAAAAACAATATTAAACCATCCCAAAAGATTCAAAAAGCTATATAAAAAGACACCAAAAAGGTGTTTATGAACCATAAACATCTAAAAATCAAAAGGTTTGTAATGTTCATTCTTTAAATTTTTGTTTTTGTTCTCTTCAACTTACTTTAAATGTTTCGTCTTATTAAACGTCCAAATAAATTATTAAATTTAATATGGAAGATTTTTTGAAGACATAATTAAATTTTCTCCAGCTTCGTCTTGAGCAAATTCCTCGAATATCAGAAGAAGAGTAATCAAGTCTTATTTTATTACAAAAGTAATAAATAAATTTTATTTTGATACCATTATAAAAGCACTGAAAACACCCAATTGAGTTATAAATTTCATTTTATACATCATCGCTTTCACAAAGTACGTACATAGAGTATAAATTTATATTGTTGGTTAGTATAAAATGTAAACATTTGTCACATAAATCATATCATCATTGTGCACTGACTGTCTTTCATTAAATCAAGTGCTCTAGTTCTCAGGAGGCTGAACATCTACTTTTGGAATAGAATGTTTATTATTCTCATAGACACATTCGCCAGCAATCCATGCTGAATGTACAATCAAATTGTCGTCTAAAAGTATGAAATCTGCATCTGCTTCGTAATTAAGAGTACCCTTCCGATCAGATATACCTAAACATGTTGCTGGATGTAAAGAAGCTGCTTCTAATGCAAATTCAATTGGGCATTGTGTTTCATGAAGAAACACACGAATGCATTCATCCATCGGAGCAATTGAACCACAAAGAGTATTTGTTCCGGCTACATATGCTTTGTGATCTCTTACTTCTATGCTATATTGTCCAATCCTGTGTGTTCCTTCTTCCAAACCCATAGCTGATATTGCGTCTGTAACTATGATTAATCCTTTTGGATGTGTGCGATAAGCAATTCTTAGAGCCGCACCATGTGTGTGTATTCCATCAGTAATAATACCAAAATAAACAGTTTTACCATCTGGAATTTCGTTTGAAGCTAACAACCCAACAAGACCTGGATCACGATGGTGAAACTTGAATTGGGGAAAAATTGTGAGATCATTGAACGTTTAACTTTTTTAAACAATATGTAAACATACCGGCATCATTGCATTGAACAGATGTGTTATAAGACTAGCGCCATGCTTCACAGCAGTCTCACCATGTATTAAATCGGCCATAGAATGACCAACTGATACGATAATACCTCGTCGGACAAGCTCGGAAATTACTTCTGGCACCCTTGGCTTTTCAGGCGCCAATGTGATAATAGATACATCACTTATGTCTCCGTAAACAGCCTCAAGTGTATCGAATCCATTTTCTAATTCTCGAATGCAATTTTCCGGATGTGCACCTTTCTTTTCAATTGATATGAAAGGTCCCTCAACATGTACACCTAATATTGTTGCTCCATGCTTTCCTCCTGCTTTCCTTTTTATTTTCGGTAAAACTTGATGATAAATTTCTTTTGGAGATGTTACTAGTGTTGGACAAAAGCTTGTTACCCCATGAGCTAAAAGTTTCTTTGATACTTTTAGGATACCGTCCTCAACACTGTTTATATCATACGAAAAATCTACTCCATATCCACCTGTCGATAACAATATTCATTAATTATTGTAATTTTCCAGGTTTTCCTTTTAATGAAGACTTTTATTTTGTATTTTGATCAAAACTTATGATTTATAGAAGTTTTAATTATTTATACCTCAATAAATGTTTTGCATATGATTTGATGAAGAATAATGTAAATGACTAAGTAAAAAAATTTAAATAATGATTTATTAAGAGAAATACTTACCATTAATTTGCAAGTCTATGAATCCTGGCGAAATGATGGCATTATGACAATCTATTTGCTGAAAAGATAAAAACAAATAACTTATACAGTTTTTATCCTTCCTTTCCTTAAAGTTTATAAAATTTATATAAATATATTGTAGCACTATCAAAATAGGGTAAAAAATATGTGAATTGGTGCATATTGAAATTGATGCGAACAAAAAAAAATAATTTTTCTGACAAGGCTTTTTTGAAAGCCAATAACTCCACAATGGTTGAAGATGACTCAACAAAAATTGGTCAAAAAAAATACGAATTTATCGAATTTAATAAAAATGTCTTCATTTATTTTTTAACGGTAAGCACTGCCTCAGAATCTGAGAATCTGTCTCCTACTTGGTAATGTCGCACCAATTTTCAGGGTGGGGATTTAAATCATAAATCAAAATCAAAATCATTTTGGGCAATTCCACGGATGAGTGGAATTCAAGAAAAATGAATTGCAATTCTTGTTCTACTTGAAAATTTAAATTTTATAAATACGTTAAATTTTTTTAATAAAAATTTCATCTTTCTTTAAAATTTAATCACAATTCGTCGTTATTTACTTATTTTAACAAATTTTGTTGTTTATACAATATTAACTTGATATTTTTGACAAAAAAATGTCCACTATAAGATCAATTAAATACAGGGAAAGCTTGAAACAACCAGAAAATCGCGAAAAGTATGAGGGCAAGATCGAAAATGAATTGTTCGTGACGCTGAGCAATAATTTACAATTTTTGAATCAATAATGCGAAATATGGAGTTAAGACTTGTGTTTTTCTTAAAGTCCTTGCCAATACCTATATTTTGGTTTTTAACAAGTATCTCTTAGACATTGTAGTATAATTAAAAATTAATTTAAAGTGCAAAGCGTCACGAACAATTTTGAGGAAATTCGATTTTACACCATGTTGCTAATGCAATATCTCTGCAACTGATTCACCAATCTTAGAAATTCTTTCACTGAGTAATTAAATGATCAGAATAGTGAATTACTTGCATAAAATTATTAAAATGGCAGTATTTCAAGTTAGCTTAATTAATGTTTTAAATGTTTAGGTTAAAATTTCTATATCAAGGAAACATCTTAATAAATAGCTTTTATTACAAAAAAGCTATCAAATATGACTGTCTTTAAGTTTATAAAAGAAAATTTTAAGTTCTACTTTAATTAACAAAGTTACAGTGAGTTTAAGAAAACTTCTATTAAACCATTACTCTTTTATTATTTTAATGATCTCTCAAGTTGAAACTATAACAATACATTAGATGCATATTTTTGCAAAAGAAAAACTTAAAAATCTTTATGGAAAGTCAAGAAAATCATAAAAGTTTAAATAATTAAACCAAAATATTTGTAGCGGCTTTGAAAAATCCAAATTTTGTGTGAAATCATGAGCAACACAGAGCAACCCATGTTGCTCAATTGAAATTACAATGTTTTTAAGTTAATTTAACTCGATTTTAAGCATTTTCAACATACAATAACAATACACAATGACTTTTTAATTATTTAAAAATTGTATTCGGTCAACTAGAGTTAGTATTTTTGCTGAAAAAGGAATTTTTTCAACAAGTTAATTTTTTGTTAAAATAGCTAAATCTATTGATTTTTATTAAGCTTTAGTCTGATGTTATGATAGAAAATATCATAATCTACAACTTTTGTCAAGGACTTGAACATTTAGCTTGCTTTTTTCTTGAAGAAAAATCAATTTCAAATGTGAATTTGTTAATTAAGCTAACTTATTAAACCGCCATTTTAAAAAACGAAAATAAAAGTCAAACTTTCTGAAATTTGCTATCGACCTGTGAAAAAATCATACAAATTGGATGCTCGGAAGCAAAGAAATCAGCATTTGAAGATTTTTTCCCTTTTTTTCTGATCTTGCCCATGAACAATATCTACTGAGAAGAAAAAAGAACAACCAGAATTACATCCATAAGCAACTAATGAACAAAAAGACAGCAAAAGTATTCATAAGGAAGCAGCAGCAACGAACAAAGAAATGTAGAGACAGAAAAAAATCGAAAAATTCTAAAGGACCAATAGAATCGGCATTTCCATCCATTTCCGCTCGTTCAAAAGCAGTTATTAAGGCACAGAAATCACTTCCAATGGTCTTAAATAAAAGAAAAGAAGTCGTAGGCATTCTCGCTGAACGTAATGGCATAACAGAAATGAAATCAAAAGTTTTAAGCATAAAACCTCGCAGAGGATTCCCTGAAATTGAAGTAATTGTGCTTATTTCTGCTCTAAAATTGAATCGAAAAATAACTTCTATCAAGCTGAATAAATTCTTGATTTAAAATAAAATTTAACGTATTATTGAATTTTGAATTTTTCAAAACTATTGATAAGACGCTTTCTGTTGTACTATTACAAAAAATATTGTCAAATTTTTGATTTTTCTCTTAATTAAGCAATACTAATGTGAATTTAAATATGGAGAATGATTAAATTTGATAAAATGCACAGGATATTAAGATTGAATAGACGTCTAGATGTTTAGAAAGTATAAAAATTCGACTCACAAAATAAAAATTCCACTTTTTGTAATAGTACAACGCTCAGAAAAAGTCGAATATTTCATTAATTTAAGCATTTAGAAGGACGCAAAACAACCATAACGGAAGAATTTACCGTTTTACATAAGTTTATTTAGTCATTGAAACGTCTTTATTGCTGAATATTGAGAAAAATTGATTTAAAGACGAATTTTTTGAAAAAATCAATCCGTGGAATTGCCCTTTTACAATGATTTGAAAAATGATTTTTGATTTAAATCATTTTATCCAAGTGATTAATCAAAAATCACAATTTGATTTGGGATTTTGATTTAAATCGCAAAAAACTCCCCCATCCTGCCAATTTTCATATTTTCCGCACCAATCATTATATTCATCATAAATGATAGAATTCTGAAGCAGTGCTGACTTTTTAAAAAATTAACAAAAATATTTTCTGAAATTTTGGACAATTCGTTATTTTTTAAATGGTCTTTGATTAAATATCATGCACCAGATAGAAAGTTATGACTCTTTAAACTTTTTGTCTCCATTTCGCACCAATTTACATATTTATTGAAAAATAAAAGCTTTAATCTTTTAAAAAACAACAACATAATTTATAGACTTTTTTAAATTTCGTTATAATTTGACTCACCACATGTGCCTGACCTTTTTCGTCAAAGAAGATTTTCTCCGGATTAATTATTTTACCATTTCGAACCCATAAATCTTCTCTAATAATTGTGTGATTTCTTAGTATCCGACAATTTTTGAATTTTATTAACCTTTGCGGTAATTCAACTTGTGAAAGAGCAAAAACAGTTGCTTGCTGCGATAACATTTTTTATCGTTTTGCAATGTTGTGAGAAACACTTAATTAGCTTGGACAATCAACAATGATTAAAGAGCAATAAACTTTTTACATTCTATTTATACAAGACTTTGTAGTTTAATTTATCAAAATATACAATGAACCTCTAAAACTCTATATAAAATTCTCAGTCAAGTTTGAACTGTGGAACTGTTGTTAAGAAAAACCACAGAAAACTCCTAAATGAGGTTGAATTGATTAAAAACTAAACAAAGATTATTGTGATTGAAGATACTGAAGAAAACATCAACACAACAATAAAAATGTAAATAAAAATACTTTGCGTCGTAGTGTATTGAAGGGAAATTCAAATTTAAGTATTATACGTTACGACAATAAATTTAATGATACTTCGTGTGCAGCCTTACTTGATAATAAAGTGCATATGATTCGTTTAGCCGCAAACAGTTTTTTGCTTTTTTCTTTCTAATATGCAACTTATAAAAATTCAATTATACTGTCAAATATTCTTCATTTATTACGTAATCAAGTAAGCTATAAATAATATTTTTAAAAAAAGTAGAAAAGAAAAAAATGAAAAAATAATGAATATTTGGATTTTGAAAGTATGATTCGTTTAGCCGCACTAAGGAAAAAAAGTATTTTCAGTGGATATTGTAAACAAATAAAGTTAATTTGTAAGTAATTTTAATTAAATAGATTATTATATATAAAGTAACGCTATTAATTCATTAGATTACTGATTAAAAAACAAAAATTTAATCATGCCAAAAGGAATATACTTAAATGAGACTGAAAAGGCTGTAATTGATCAATTAAAATCGATTGAGCTGTCCAATCGGGATATTGCGGGATTTCTACACCCCCCTCCTCCCATTGTTACAATATGTTACAACACACAACCCCTCCCCCCCCCCCTCCCCCTGAACGTTCATAATTTATTTTATTTTGATAATTTTTTATTCTAAAAAGATTGTTAAATTCTTTTGTATTTTTTTTTTCTTAAACATCAAAATACTGTACAGCTAAATAGGTCATGTTTTGATTGATACTATTAGTATTCTCATGAATTATTGGATTGAGATATAAAGCAAAAATTTGTTTTTTTTTGAAGAAAATTCAAAAATATTATGCCCGATCGAATTTTGGAAAATTCAATCAACTTTGAATGTAAATATCTCAATGATGGGATCATATTAATCATCATATGAATGACAGATTTAGAGAGATTTATTTTAAACTTATGATTGATTTAATTTGAAAATTTCCACAAATTATGATTGTATTTTAAAGTCTTGGAAACCAGTTTTCTATTGATTTGTTACTTTATGTAACAAAAACTATTTATTGCTTAGCTATCAAAAGAGATCTGGACATTTATAAATCATTAAAAAGTGGAATATTTAAAAAAATGTTTTTGGAGTGAATTTGTAAACAAATTTTTTTCGTGAACTTTTTTTTAAAAGACAGACGATAGTTTGAACGTTACATACTTTTTGACACCCCCCCCCCCCTATGTTACATTTGGTTACAATTTTTCAACCCCCCCCCTCCCCTCCACTATGGGGCAAAATTGAAAAAAAGGGACTTTCACTTCGAAAAAGGCAATGTTTCAAATTACGTTCTCAAGTGATTTTTTTCTTGTAGAGGATATAAAAATAGACTTCTATGCCAAATTTCAGGTCATTTGGTGCTATTTTTGCGAATCTGTGGCTGTTTGAAGTTGAAAAAGGGTGAAAAATCTGGTTTTTTCATGTCACGTTAGAACTGGTAAATCTCCACAATGGTTAGAGATATTGAAAAAAAGTTTTCAGTTCCTAAAAGTGTAATATAAGAACTTTCTTTTAATGTGTATCAAATTTTACAAATTTGATGTTTTGGTACCGGTGTAGTTGAAAGCGTATAAAAATCCTAGGAAAAATATCTTTGTGCAGGCACAACTTTTATCTGTCAACAGCTATACCAGTCAAAAACCACATCATTAAATAGCCACTGACTTCTAGTTTTCATAACTGTATAAACATTAAAATAATGTTTGCACCGTTGTGAGAAAAGTTGATTTGAGTAAATCGACAAATATTTTGCCAAAAACGAAAATTTCTTATAAATAAAACAAAACAATAACTACAAAAAAGTTTTTTGGTATTTTTCAATGACAAACAATATTTAATGACAACTTGTAAAGAAATTTTTTCAAAAAGTTTAAAATTTGTCGTTATATAGGGTACTTTTGATATCTGAAGACTTGTGTGTTTTTTTCATCACTCAAACCACTAGTACTCTTAGAAACTTAAATATTTTTGAATTTTGTTTTCAATTTATTGTAGCTTAAGTCAGTACCTTTCTAATGATGTATAATACTTGATAGTTGACTTTGATCTTGGTCATGAATATGAGGCTTGTTTGTGAGCGACCCTAAACTATAAAAAATCTCAAAAACGTCATTTCTAGAAATACCACTTAGAAACAAAATTAAGTATTGAATTTTGGTTTTTTATGACGATTTATGATAATTATGACTAAAAACACTCAAAAAATTGTATTTTATAAACTTTTGGCTATCTCAGGTAGCTTGTTTAAGTACGATCCTAGTAGTCTTTATTGGGTCTAAAATTCCCAAGTATTACACTGTTTCTTGGATGCTTATCGGTTGATATTTCATATTTATACATGGTTTTAGCGAAATAAGTCAGTTTAAAATATTTTTGTTTGATAAATTTTGGTTTTTGGCTATTTTATTGAAGTTTACAGTAGCGGCCAAAAGTATCCGGACAAACACAAAAATGTCTATAACTTTTGACTGGGTGGTCCAATTTAACTCAAATTTTCACTGGAATACGTAAAATCGAATTACAATTAATAAAAATATTACCTTAATAACAAATCTTTAAAACCAAAAATTTTATTTTAAAAAAACTAAAAATTGAATGGACAAAAGTATCCGGACAAAATTAAAAGTTTGTCGGAAATTTGTTTAAAAAGCTTTTCTCACACTGAACGAATGCTTTTTTGTTAAGTATTTTATGCTTTTTGTTTACATTCATCATGTCAACTCAAAAATATTTGAGTTTACCAGTTAAAAAAGCAATTATTAGTGCTGTAGACCAAGCACGAAATTACAGAGACATTGCACGTCAATTTGGCACTGGAAAGTCCACAATAGCTGATGTTGTTCGACAATTTAGAGAAAGAAATAATCACAACGTGTTACCGAAATCAGGAAGACCCAGAAAGACAACTGCAAGACAAGATAAGGCTTTAATTAATGCATCGAAAGCTGATCCGCGTAAGAGTGCGGTAACATTAAATGCAGAAATAAAGGAATATTACAATGTTCAAGTGAGTACAAGAACAACTAAACGTCGATTGAATGATGCAGAATTGTTTGAACGACGTCCCGTCAAAAAGCCGTTTGTTTCTGTAAAGAATCGAAATGCCCAAATAAAATTTGCCAAGGAACATCTTAATTGGACTCGTGAGCAATGGTCAAAAGTTCTTTGGAGTGACGAATCAAAGTTTATGTTGTTTGGATCTGATGGAATCAAGTTTGTGAGACGACCAAAGGGTCATAGAAACGATCCTAAGTATCAGTTACCGACAATTAAACATGGTGGAGGTAACGTTATGGTGTGGGGATGCTTTAGTCGTGATGGAGTTGGTCCGATTCATCGAGTTACTGGTATTATGGACAAGGAAATGTATAAAGATATCATCAACAGAGTAATGCTTCCCCATGCCAAACGTGTTATGCCTCGAGGTTGGATTTTCCAGCAGGATAACGATCCCAAACACACATCGAAGGTCGTTAAGGAATTTTTTAAAACTAAGAAGATCCGAGTTTTGGAATGGCCATCCCAAAGTCCGGATCTTAATCCGATAGAGCATCTTTGAGAACATGTAGAGAGACAAATTTCAGGTCGAAAACCTACAAATCAGAATGCTTTGTTTACCATAATCAAGGATGCTTGGGAAAAGATCTCAATAGATGTTTTGATTAAGCTGGTGGACTCAAGCATGGACGATGTCAAGCAGTAATTGATGCTAAGGGCTTCCCAACAAAGTACTAAACAGAAGAACTCAAAATTCTATTCATTATAAGCCATTTACTTAGTAAAGAGAATTTTTTTCTTAAACTTTTAATTTTGTCCGGATACTTTTGTCCATTCAATTTTTAGTTTTTTTAAAATAAAATTTTTGGTTTTAAAGATTTGTTATTAAAGTAATATTTTTATTAATTGTCATTCGATTTTACGTATTGCAGTGAAAATTTGAATTAAATTGGACCATCCAGTCAAAAGTTATAGACGTTTTTGTGTTTGTCCGGATACTTTTGGCCGCTACTGTAGCTTGCGTCGGTCACATTCAATTTACTCCAGAAGCAGCTATGATGAATTTTCATACAAGTATTATACATCATTTTTAAAGTATTGATCTAAGCTAGAAATAGCCAAAAACAGAATGCAAAAATTTGTATCCTGAAAAAAGTTAAAGCTTTTTATGTCCATCAAAAAGCCTACAGAAGGGCAAACAGCAAAGGTAAATTTTCAAAAATTTAAAATTTCACACTTATTTTGGCAAAATTTATTTTATTATTATTTTCTTTAATACATTAAACCTTTTTCTAACAATTTGCTCTAATAGTAGTCATTGAATTTTCAATTTTTGTATTTTTACCTTTGCTGTTTGCCCTTCTGTAGGCTTTTTGATGGACATAAAGAGCTTTAACTTTTTTCAGGATACAAATTTTTGCATTCTGTTTTTGGCTATTTCTAGCTTAGATCAATACCTTCAAAATGATGTATAATACTTGTATGAAAATTCATCATAGCTGCTTCTGGAGTAAATTGAATGTGACCGACGCAAGCTAAACTTCAATAAAATAGCCAAAAACCAAAATTTATCAAACAAAAATATTTTAAACTGACTTATTTCGCTAAAACCATGTATAAATATGAAATATCAACCGATAAGCATCCAAGAAACAGTGTAATACTTGGGAATTTTAGACCCAATAAAGACTACTAGGATCGTACTTAAACAAGCTACCTGAGATAGCCAAAAGTTTATAAAATACAATTTTTTGAGTGTTTTTAGTCATAATTATCATAAATCGTCATAAAAAACCAAAATTCAATACTTAATTTTGTTTCTAAGTGGTATTTCTAGAAATGACGTTTTTGAGATTTTTTATAGTTTAGGGTCGCTCACAAACAAGCCTCATATTCATGACCAAGATCAAAGTCAACTATCAAGTATTATACATCATTAGAAAGGTACTGACTTAAGCTACAATAAATTGAAAGCAAAATTCAAAAATATTTAAGTTTCTAAGAGTACTAGTGGTTTGAGTGATGAAAAAAACACACAAGTCTTCAGATATCAAAAGTACCCTATATAACGACAAATTTTAAACTTTTTGAAAAAATTTCTTTACAAGTTGTCATTAAATATTGTTTGTCATTGAAAAATACCAAAAAACTTTTTTGTAGTTATTGTTTTGTTTTATTTATAAGAAATTTTCGTTTTTGGCAAAATATTTGTCGATTTACTCAAATCAACTTTTCTCACAACGGTGCAAACATTATTTTAATGTTTATACAGTTATGAAAACTAGAAGTCAGTGGCTGTGTGTTAATGATGTGGTTTTTGACTGGTATAGCTGTTGACAGAAAAAAGTTGTGCCTGCACAAAGATATTTTTCCTAGGATTTTTATACGCTTTCAACTACACCGGTACCAAAACATCAAATTTGTAAACTTTGATACACATTAAAAGAAAGTTCTTATATTACACTTTTAGGAACTGAAAACCTTTTTTCAATATCTCTAACCATTGTGGAGATTTACCAGTTCTAACGTGACATGAAAAAACCAGATTTTTCACCCTTTTTCAACTTCAAACAGCCACAGATTCGCAAAAATAGCACCAAATGACCTGAAATTTGGCATAGAAGTCTATTTTTATATCCTCTACAAGAAAAAAATCACTTGAGAACGTAATTTGAAACATTGCCTTTTTCGAAGTGAAAGTCCCTTTTTTTTCAATTTTGCCCCATAGTGCCCTCTAAAATGCGAACGTAAGAAGTGAACGGCCCCTTACTTGATTACGTAATAAATGAAGAATATTTGACAGTATAATTGAATTTTTATAAGTTGCATATTAGCAGGGTGCGGGATTTTTTTGCGATTTAAATCAAAATCCCAAATCAAATTCTGATTTTTAATTTAAATCTCACTACAAAATGATTTGAAAAATGATTTTTGTTTTAAATCATTTTACCTAAGTGATTTATTTTTGATTTATGATTTAAATCATTTTGTATGAAAGATTTATTTGTGATTTATGATTTAAATCATTTGTATGAAAGATTTTTTTTTTGATTTATGATTTAAATAAAGTTCAAAATCTTACCAAATTTTTCACGAGCAAAATTTTTTGTGAGCAATTTTTTTGAAAATCTCACGAGCAAATTTTTCGTGAGTGGCTCACGAAAATTTGCTCGTGAGCCGAATTTTGCTCACGAAATTGCTCACGTGAGCAAATTGTGACGTCACTTTCCAAAAATTTTTTTTTGATAAAAATTGCATGAAATTTCTTGTTATGGGATGGTTCTTCAGAATGAATGAAACTTTTGCCAGTGACTTTTTATGACTTTGCTAGAAAATTTTGAGTAGGAACGACCTTCTTGTTCCTGAATCTTGACTTGTTGCTTGGATTTTTTCTTAATTTTGCTTAATATCATTTCCAAAATCATAGGAGCCAATGATGGTAATAGATGTCAAAACATTCGTACAATACTTTTGAGACATCTGATATGAAACTGGTCATGTCCAACTGGGTGGAACTACAAAAAAAAAATAATTATTTTTCTATGCTTTATAGACACTTTTGGGCAGGGGTTGGAACCAAGCACTTCCGTTACTTCCAGGTCCAATTTTTGATGCTTACTATGTCAAGGAGGTTTCGAAACATCAGGAAAACACAAAACTTTCAAATTATAAAGCAGTTCCTTTGTGAAATATTGCATTTGTATAACATTTCCATACATTTTCAACAAAAACTCGCGGTTTATTGAAGAATATTCAAAGGACTGAAAATGTTAAATACAAAGTCATTAACATAAGAATGAAGCATTATTTCTGAGCATTTTTAATCTTCTGGCACTAAAGGAACTGGGCAGTTCCAGTGTCTAATCATACCTTTGGCTAAGAAACACAAACGTATACCTCCTTGACAATGAAAACTTATCAAAAAACGCTTTAAAGGGACCTGAAGTGACTGGTTCCTCATATAGAGCAAGATCCATTCATGCTTTATCATTTACAGCTATACCAACATTTGCATACTTAAGCAACAAGACACAGAAAATTAAAATTCATGAACAAAACCATGGAATCAATGGTTGCTGTCATTTTTCCGATAACCAGAAAGGATATCGATTCTTAATGATTTTTAATAATCTTCTGAATATTTCCAAACAAATTTTCACCTTCAAGTGATTTAAAATCCCCAAAAAAATCCTTATACAATGTGATTTAAATCATAAATCACAAATAAATCTTTCATACAAAATGGTTTAATTCATAAATCAAAAATTAATCACTTGGGTAAAATGATTTAAAATAAAAATCATTTTTCAAATTATTGCAAAATGATTTTGATTTATGATTTAAATCCCCACCCTGACTGTAGTATAATATTTCGAAATTTTATGGAACTAGAGGAATTCAAATTTCATTTTTTTGACCAAAATTTTACTGAACCCAAAAAATACTTGTATGGAAATTGTGAAAGTGGGCCGTAAATGTTTAAAACTTTATAAAAATTCTGTTTGATTTAAGTTCCTTTTGAAATTCTTATGCTGAAATGAAAGTCAAATAAATGCAAGAATCATTTGATTATCAAAAAAAAAAGATTAACAGATAAAAAATGGAAATTCGCTTGGGTTCATGACGTATTTTCTTACTTTCCATATACATTTTTTCAAAATCACTTATATTGGACCCACTCAAATTTTGTCTTTAAATCTTAAATTCTGAAAAATTTCAAAAAAAATTTTAAATACCAAACCAGAACCAGCTTAAATTTTGAATTTAAGCCTTCAATTAGGAAATCTAGTCTGAGCGGTGTTTTTATATATTTATCCATCCATTTCTGAGTATCAACAATGCACAGTTAAATAAAAACTTTAAGCTCATCTTAATTCTATATGCATTGCTTTATTTTGATCCTTTCGGCAAAAGATTTTGATGACGATAAATAATTTTTTCATTTTCTTTTCTTTGTCAAGAATTTTGGCGCCATTAAAGCATTCAACTCATAATTTAAATTCAATCGTTTTAATAGAAACGTCAGAAAAGCTACTAATCTTAATTAGGATTAACTTAAATTATTCTAAACTCTACAAAATTGGTCCAAATCTGCATTTGATTTAGCAAAACTCATTCATAAACAGTAACACAAGAAAGCATCAGAAAGAAATCAATCTAAAGCAGGTGGTAAGACTTCATGCTTCTGAATATAGAAATGTTCATTATATTTATTTTTTGATGCTTTATCACAGTAAACAATTTATGCTCAAATGTTCTTTTTCCTTTGGTTTTTGAGCGAATAAGAACCATAAATCATGGAGATCTTAAGCTTCACAAACAGAGATGAAATTGAAAGAAATGCTCCTGTTTTACAAATGATTTGATGCTTACATCAAAATAAAAAGGTATAACGAGCAAGTTGCTTTGCTAAAATTAGAATGAAAGTTCGAAGTTGTATTTGGAATAAGAGTCTTAGACTTAGCTAAATGATCATTGAAGTAAAGTTACAGAGGTTGGATAGGGAACAGTTTGTTATAGGTAATTTGTCATATAATCAATACAAGGAGATTAATAAACAATTATATTAAATTTCATAACATAGCAAAAAACCCATTTTTAAGTAAATAACTTAGTATTAAAATGAAATGTATTCGAAGTTATTTAAATTTGAACTTAATTATCGAACAATATTCGATTTCAATTTCTGTTTTTTTTTACACATTTACTTCTTGTTCTTTAATTAACTTGGGTTTTTCAATAGATACTTGAGACTATCTTATCTGTTGCAAGTTTAATGTTTTTAAAGAAAAATTATTCGAAATGCCTAAAGATGACATGAGTCAGAACCTAAATTCAATTAACATCTATTTATTTGTACATATCTTTGTCAGACTTTAACAAATGTATCTTATTTCCATTATATAAATTTATTTATGAATGAAGATTTTATAACAATTTTGAGAACAAGTGATTTAATGCTGTGTAAAAGGCTTATCTTTTGGAGTCCATGCCTCTCTTAACTTAAAGTCCAAATCTCTAATTCGTAACATCATTCGTTCTAGTGAGTCATGCCTTTTTAGTTTTTTCCTTAGAAAAGGTGAGAATGCCTTCCAGTATGGCTCGTCAGTAAATGAATAATAGTAATTTGAATGTTCAAGACTATCATCAGATTCATTATCAGTAATTGGATTTGGGCCAGCACTGCAAATTTTAAATAGCGATATGACGACATACATTGTCAGAACTAAAGACGAAATCTCCTATAATCATGACAAATTGTCCATGATAACACATAGTAAGAATAGCAAATATTATTAAAGTTATTCACTTATATTAATTATGTATGAATATTCACCACGAAAATTTTCGGCCTTCTCATTGTTCAACAGTAGATCACACTTTTTTTATTGAATAAGTGACACGAGTATGCGAGCAAACGAGCGAATAAAGAATTGTGTACGAGTTGTACAGTAATCAAACTTAAACAGCAGTCGAGTTATTGCTTTTGAAAATAAATGAAGCGAAATCATTCTTAAAATTGTATTTTTTTCATTGCTGATGTTGCTTATTAATTATAATCATTATCAGTTAGATTCCAGATCATCACAATATATAACAATTTAAGCAAAAAAAAAAAATAAATTAATAACAATTTTTTATCACTACGATGATGAGCTGTCAGTATCACTTATTCGAGGTTGTACAACAACATTCCAATCTATAGGTTTAAAATGCATTAAAGATCGCTTCAGTCTCTCATATTCTGCTATCCGCAATCGATCATGACTGCTAAATGCTTTTAAATATGGCGAAATTTCATCTGTCTCTATCTCCTTAGGTCGTATAACTGCGCCTTCACTATGGCTCAATAAATAAATTGTGTATGTCAATAAAGCCCAAATTGTCAGCTGAAAAAACACAAATTTTTATTGATACATTTATGTGTAAGTAGAGTACATCATCATGATCATCATAAAAAATGAGAGTTTTGTTTCCACAATAGTATGTAGACACGACACGTTAATATATTATGTTATCATTACTTCGCATATAAATTCACTCACAATTTTTGATAAGAACATTACTCAATTTTATTTTACTCCTATTCAATTCTCTCACTTATTTCTGTAATCCTCACTTTTTCTACAATATTTTATTCACAAATGTGTTAATTGCAACATCTGAAAACACAAACTGAATATTTTCTTAAGCTTTATAGTATTACTACTTCAATTATTATGAATCCATTGAAATATATTTAAAAAATTGTCTTCAATAATTCTGCTGATATCGGCAGTGTTCAGTAAACAATAAGTTATTTTTTAACAATAATAAATACTTTTGCTGCGTTACTCATGTGTCTTATCATAGCCCACAAATAATACTTATTTACTTTATTTTTCGACGTAAACTTTAAGTTCTTGTTTTTACTGACTGCCACACATTTTCAAAATAATGAATATTAACAAAGATAATGAACATGTTGGAAGTAATAGATATACCAAAAAAAAATGTTCCTAGTAAATTTGTGGTATTCATACATATAAGGTGCGCGCAGTTCGTTTAGACGCACTTAATTTTTTTCAAATTTTCCTTTAATAAACACTATTAAGACAAAAACTATTTTATGTGTTTATAGCTATGACCAATTAGGTTATAAATATAATAAAAGTATCTGACTAAATGCTTTGCTTAAGTAATTAAAATAATTTTTTCAAAAATTACAACAACAAAGTGCGCAGTTCGTTTAGACGCACTTTGAAAAATCTAAAATTTTGTCTTATTTACGTTTCGTAGAAAACTTAATCGTTTCTAATATTAATCTATCAACAAAAACGAGTAATTACTGAGGGTTTTAGAATTTTCCATCAAGTTTTTCCAGAGATTTTCCTTCATTAAAGTTTTCATGTTGCAAAAATTTTGATAAATTATTTATCCAATAATTTTGCGTTAAATTATTATTCTTTTAACTGATTTCCATAGATAATTGTCCATAATATTAGAAAATTAACAGATATTTAAGCTTTCTTATAAGTATAAGGCGAAAATATGTGAAAAATATAATTATGGTGAAAAATTTTCCACCACTCTCATAGATTAATCAACAAATTTTGACAAAACTGTAGATACCATAATAAATTTGAATAGACCAGCTTATTTATCGTATTAAACTTAGTTAAAAACAGAAAACTGCACAGCTCTATGGCTAATGGAACTTGAAAATTTTACTGAAAAATTAAGTTGTGGTGAAAAAATTCACCATAGAAAAATAAAATTTTAAAAAACAATGTCTAAGGTTTTAATTCATGTTTTAAATTGATTAATTTTGAGACAGAAACACTTTTACAACCTAATTTAAATGAAACAATTGCCTAAAACAACGTTTTTTAAAATTTTATTTTTCTATGGTGAATTTTTTCACCACAACTTAATTTTTCAGTAAAATTTTCAAGTTCCATTAGCCATAGAGCTGTGCAGTTTTCTGTTTTTAACTAAGTTTAATACGATAAATAAGCTGGTCTATTCAAATTTATTATGGTATCTACAGTTTTGTCAAAATTTGTTGATTAATCTATGAGAGTGGTGGAAAATTTTTCACCATAATTATATTTTTCACATATTTTCGCCTTATACTTATAAGAAAGCTTAAATATCTGTTAATTTTCTAATATTATGGACAATTATCTATGGAAATCAGTTAAAAGAATAATAATTTAACGCAAAATTATTGGATAAATAATTTATCAAAATTTTTGCAACATGAAAACTTTAATGAAGGAAAATCTCTGGAAAAACTTGATGGAAAATTCTAAAACCCTCAGTAATTACTCGTTTTTGTTGATAGATTAATATTAGAAACGATTAAGTTTTCTACGAAACGTAAATAAGACAAAATTTTAGATTTTTCAAAGTGCGTCTAAACGAACTGCGCACTTTGTTGTTGTAATTTTTGAAAAAATTATTTTAATTACTTAAGCAAAGCATTTAGTCAGATACTTTTATTATATTTATAACCTAATTGGTCATAGCTATAAACACATAAAATAGTTTTTGTCTTAATAGTGTTTATTAAAGGAAAATTTGAAAAAGATTAAGTGCGTCTAAACGAACTGCGCGCACCTTAGTTTTCTAAACATGTGTGTCGATTATTATTTTATGAGATTATGAAAATTTCATCATAATCGATAATAATGAATATATCAAACTGATCCATGATGCTTTCAAAATTAAACCCAATTCCCACCTCTAACACTCGAATGACTACAAGTGAGGCATTTTTAAGTTACGACTATAAAATAAAGATTCTCAGACTCTTTTTCTTTAATAATTAAGATTTTTTTTTTCAGAAAAAAATCTTTAATAATTTTTTTAAAGTATACAAAAAAGCTATTATGGCTTTTTAATTATATTCGAAAGAAAAAACAAAATCGCAAAATCATAAATTTTCATGCTCCATGCTTAACAAGAATTTGGCTCTAGAATTATGTACAATAAAAATTAATGATAATACCAGATGAAAATACAGTGACACTTAATTTTCACTTTCATGAATGTCATTAAGGTTGTGTATGTACATGTGTTGAATGATTTATAAACTGGTATCTTCATTGCTCAACAGATAATGAAGATGGTAAAACAATTGATTAAAATCGTTTGATCATTTAATTGTATTATTTAACAGATGCCTTTAATTCACAATCGTCTACTTGTGTATGTAAGTAGTTTAAATAGCATTAAAAGCTATGTGCATTTAATTTTGTATGAATTTACGAATGAAATGTGACACAATTAGAGATCTGCTTATTAATTAGACGTTATATTTGAGCGAACTCTTAAAAAATAATTTTTATAATCATCAGTTTCAAGATGAAAGCATGCTCGAATGCACGAAATTTTGGAGATGTTGCTAGATTTAATAAAATTACAGTGATTCTCTGATAAATTAATGAACAAAATGATGCTGGGCAAGATCAGAAAAAAAGGGAAAAAATCTTCAAATGCTGATTTCTTTGCTTCCGAGCATCCAATTTGTATGATTTTTTCACAGGTCGATAGCAAATTTCAGAAAGTTTGACTTTTATTTTCGTTTTTTAAAATGGCGGTTTAATAAGTTAGCTTAATTAACAAATTCACATTTGAAATTGATTTTTCTTCAAGAAAAAAGCAAGCTAAATGTTCAAGTCCTTGACAAAAGTTGTAGATTATGATATTTTCTATCATAACATCAGACTAAAGCTTAATAAAAATCAATAGATTTAGCTATTTTAACAAAAAATTAACTTGTTGAAAAAATTCCTTTTTCAGCAAAAATACTAACTCTAGTTGACCGAATACAATTTTTAAATAATTAAAAAGTCATTGTGTATTGTTATTGTATGTTGAAAATGCTTAAAATCGAGTTAAATTAACTTAAAAACATTGTAATTTCAATTGAGCAACATGGGTTGCTCTGTGTTGCTCATGATTTCACACAAAATTTGGATTTTTCAAAGCCGCTACAAATATTTTGGTTTAATTATTTAAACTTTTATGATTTTCTTGACTTTCCATAAAGATTTTTAAGTTTTTCTTTTGCAAAAATATGCATCTAATGTATTGTTATAGTTTCAACTTGAGAGATCATTAAAATAATAAAAGAGTAATGGTTTAATAGAAGTTTTCTTAAACTCACTGTAACTTTGTTAATTAAAGTAGAACTTAAAATTTTCTTTTATAAACTTAAAGACAGTCATATTTGATAGCTTTTTTGTAATAAAAGCTATTTATTAAGATGTTTCCTTGATATAGAAATTTTAACCTAAACATTTAAAACATTAATTAAGCTAACTTGAAATACTGCCATTTTAATAATTTTATGCAAGTAATTCACTATTCTGATCATTTAATTACTCAGTGAAAGAATTTCTAAGATTGGTGAATCAGTTGCAGAGATATTGCATTAGCAACATGGTGTAAAATCGAATTTCCTCAAAATTGTTCGTGACGCTTTGCACTTTAAATTAATTTTTAATTATACTACAATGTCTAAGAGATACTTGTTAAAAACCAAAATATAGGTATTGGCAAGGACTTTAAGAAAAACACAAGTCTTAACTCCATATTTCGCATTATTGATTCAAAAATTGTAAATTATTGCTCAGCGTCACGAACAATTCATTTTCGATCTTGCCCTGCTTCTTTCTGACCGTACAATTTTAATTGTTAAATTAGAATCTACAACATTTTATTGTTACATTGTAAAGATTAATTGAAAAGATACAGATTGCATGATACACAACAGTTTACTGTTAATGTAAAGTCATTTAGTGGTATTTACTTTCATGGCAAAAAAAAGCCATTTGAAATTTGAGATTCCTTCCATTAATATTTAAGTCTTTCTTCTCTCCCCAAAGAATATAAGAACAATAGAACAATAGAGACAGTTTTTTTTATCCCATCCATCCACAAAATAAGAGAATTCCAAGTAATAAAAGCTCAGCAACAAAGTCAAAATTAATTCGTGGTGTTAACATTGTAATGGATTCAATGAAAAACGAAGATCAAATCACACTTTCGCAGGTTGCACTCTACACAACATTATCATGCATTATTGTTTCTTTGATTGCTGTTCTTCTTTACTTGACGTGCTCTAAACGCTACAAACTTAATTGGTTTGAGAATAATCTGCTTGAAACAGCAAAAGAAAATGAAGAAAATGCTCAAAGGTGATAAAAAGCATGACATAAGAAAAAGCTTTATAGTTTCTAAGATAAGCACTCCTTTCTTCTCTTTCTTCTTTGTTTGTTTATAGTCATGAAGTATTGGTCCATTGTGAGATGTTAAACAATAATGAAAGTTCCATAGCCGGAAGTTCTCGATCCCTCAATCGTAATGTTGGAAGTCCAATATCAAATACTGATGATCCAACATTTTGGGTACCAGGCACTTCATCAATCACTGGTCATTGCAGCGATATTCACTCAGGTTTATTCTTTCATTAATTCTACAATATTAGACCTCGATTAAATATTTGATTCATTTTATACATCAAAGATTATTCGGAGCCACAAAGTCCCACGTCGCCAACAAGCAGTAATCGCTCATTCGCCTTATCTGTCAACTCAATTCCAATCGTACGCTCTGACAAGCATGTAGTTTTGACGTCAACAAGCCCAGCACGCCCCAAAATGGCTTCAATGCAGGCAAAATTGGATCACACGAAAATTGATACATCATTATATCAACAAGTGAGTCATATTTTACCGCATACCAATTTCTAATTTTAGAAAACTTTAATATATTTTTTAAAGTAAATAACCTAACAACCCTTTCTGTTCCGTTTCATAAAACAAATTTAGAGTGCACCAAAAAGAAATTCATCAATGTCGTCAGAAGATCTTCGGGGGACATTACATTTTACAATGTTATACGATGCCATTGCTGGAATCTTAACTTTGCGACTTATTGAGGTAAATTATATATTTACACTCCTAATTATCATGTCCCTAATTTTGAACCTCCATTTTAAAAAATGTATAGGCACATGATTTACAACCAAGAGATTTCAGTGGAACTGCAGATCCTTATGCTAAAATACGTCTTTTGCCTGACGCTTCAAAGACCAACATGTGGCAAACGAGAATCCATAAGCGAACACTAAATCCTGGTAAGAAGATGTCATGTTTAATATCAGACATTAAATAAAATTTCCATCATTTATTTTACTTAAAGTCTTCGACGAAGATTTTGTGTTTGAAGTGCGGCCGGCAACGATTGGAAGAAGAACATTAGAAATTCTCATTTACGATTTTGACGCTTACTCTAGACACGTTTGTATCGGTGGTTTAAAAATTGCTCTTGCACATGTCGATTTATCCGATAAAGTTGAGTTATGGAAATCATTAGGACCTTGTTCAGAACAAGATGCTAAAATTGAGTTGGGTGATATTATGGTTTCGTTATCGTATCTTCCAAGTGCTGAACGACTTACATGTGTTGTTATTAAAGCAAGAAATTTAAGAGTTTTTGACGATACGAGGAATTCATCAGGTAATTGAAAGCATTGAAAGTCATCAAATATTCATATTTATATACTTTCTTTACTTTTGCTGCGTTTTTTAAAGCAGACCCATACGTCAAGGTGTCAATAATATATAATGGAAAAAGACTTAAGAAAAAGAAGACAACCGTCCTCCGCAACACCATTAATCCAGTATTTAATGAAGCTTTAACGTTTGATATTTCAAGAGATATGCTTAAACATTCAATCATCGAATTTTTAGTAATGCACGATAATCTTCTTGGAGCTAACGAACTTCTTGGCCGGGCTGTAATCGGAAATTCACATGAAGTTCGAATCGAGGAAAAACAATTTTTTGACGAAATATTTCGTACTAAATCTGCAACTGCTCAATGGATACCTCTTTCTGATCCAAGAAATCTTCGCTAAATATTTAAGGCTTATATCTTCATATTTTCCATACCTATCTATACATATATTTATTTTGAGAATCATTCCACATTTAGCTTTCTATCTCTATTAAAAAGAACTTATTAAATTTATGGGTCGTTTACTTATTATGTACGCATTTCAAGGTCGTAAAGATCTGCATTTAAAACTTGTGACAAGTCAGTGAACGACCCAATTAGTCATGAAAAATCATTGAATCAAGCAGGGTGGTAGTAAAAGTACATGCATGGTGCAAATACATATTTGAGATTCAGGAATTTTACGTATAGTTGGAAATTAAAGAGAGCGACTGAATATATTTGCTTCTACCTAATACGAAATAAATTAACAAATAATATAAACAAATAGAGTATAACAAGGATATGTCCAAATGTACCTAATCATATAATGAAAAAAAAAATCTATATTTAGCATATTTAGACGTTTAGTGAACATAATATTCTAGTCAAAATGATGACCTAGAAACTTATACCTAGTCATGTGACATTACAGACCTATGCATAATAATGTTATTTTAAAGAATTTTAAATAATCAGCAGTTAATTGTTTTACCTACAAAATTTTAATGTACTTATTTTTTGAATTTTTTTTATTTAAACCATTTTAAAACTACACTGATTTTTACTATTAATTTTTATAGGAAATATAGTGAATTAAATGGCTGTCAATAATACTGATTGAAAAAAGGCAACTAAAATTTGTTTGAAAATTTCACAAGTGTGAATATTAGTTATGTTTTGATAAATCAAATAACATGAACAAATGAGTTTTTTCAGTTAGATTTTAAATTATTGAATTGTTTAGTCTAGTCAACATGAATAAATTTATAGCTAATCAAATGATTTACTTTAAAAATAAAAAATTTTCATAAAAAAGCTCAAACTTCTCTAAAGGACGTTCACTCATGACATCCATCAAAGATTGGTGATTGCCATAAGTTTACATTTACTTTTTCTTAAAATATTTGTCTAAAGAATTTTTTTTCTTAGGAGATGATTTAATGGGAGATTCTGCCTTTCTTTTCTCACTCTTGGAAGTATCCAAATTCTTTTTAGCATAAGCTGCCTTCATTTTTACCAAATTCTCTTTCATTACAATATCATGATCAACAATTTGACGTGGATAGTCTTTTCCAATAATACAACCGTATTTCTTTTGGTTTTCAAGTGATACCTTCCACGGTTCATAAATCACCCCCGAAGGATAGTTTTTCAATTCAGGTACATACTTTTTAATATACAAACCTTGTGAATCAGTCTTTTTCCCAAAAGCTATTGGACTGTAGACTCGAAAGTATTGATGAAAGAATGCAGAAGCACTTAACCACATCCAGTTTCCAGCATTCAGTGCCCAATCTGCATCAAGTAAATATTCTTCAAAAACTTTCTGTCCTTCTTCCCAATTTATCCAAAGATCGCCTCTTGTTAAAAAACATGCAACTGCATGTCTAGCTAAATGGTGAATCCAACCTGATTTTAAAAAATGAATAAAAAAATATATAAAGCAACATAATTTTTGAAGCATAAGAAGGTATTTACCTTCTTGTTTTAACTGGCGCATTATAGCATCAATAAATGGATAGCCTGTCATCCCATTTTTCCAAGCATCAAGGTAAGTTTGATTGTGTACCCATGGGATTTGAGCACAAATTCTATTGCCAACCATTCGATCAAAATTTGGTGTAGCAGATCCAACGCAATAATAAAATTCTCTCCATATCACTTGAGCTTCAAGTGAAACTGGTGGTTGTGAATGCTTTCTACCTTTGTAGGCTAATTTAATTTCATGATAAAATAGTCGCACACTTAATGCTCCAAATTTAAGGTATGGTGACAATACAGTAGTAGATGGTTCGAGTGAGTTTGGTGCAGTATTAGGCTTTTCAAATTTACAAACGTAATCCACTTGTTTCATTGTATCAGTCATTCTTCTTAAGGCTTCCGTTTCACCTCCAGGAAACTTAGAAGCTTTACTTAATTCTTCTACACTTACACCCATTTGTTTAAGAGTAGGTACATTATAACAGTCTATAGATTTTTCTTCAAGATCATCCAGTTCTGGTTCACACGATTTGGGTACTTTATTTGGATTTTCAGCCGGTTGTGGAACTTTCAGCTCACTAGCAACAGACAGAAACTTTTGAAATGTCATTGGTACTGAGCCTTTATTCTTCTTAATCACTAATTCTGGATTAAAGACAGTAAGAGAATATTCGATCATAACTTCTACATTAAAACGTTCAGCATCTTTTAAGAGTATTTGATCGCGTTTAACAGAATATGGTTCAATGTCATGCTCAAATGTAATCAATTGGACATTCCACTTTTCAAAAAGCTTTGGGAAATGATCCTTTGGATTTCCGCGCACAACGTATAGTCTGGAATTAATGAATTTATTAGAAGTAACAGAATTAAGAGAAATATATGGCTATTACCTTGTATTTAACTTCCTTAAATTCTTATCGAGATCTGCTAACGTTTCTTGTAAAAATCGCCATCTATTCGCTCCAACAGTCATCCATTTTACAATACCTGGATCAAGCATAAATATTGGTCTCAAATAAGCCTGTAATGTATAATTTTGAGTAATTTATTCTTTATTAAAATGAGAATTAATACCTTTCTTTTTATAGCCCCATCTATCGCTTTAACTAATGCTGGATTATCATGGACACGAAGTCCTTTACGGAACCAATGAATTACAGTTACTTTTGCACTCATTTCAGTCTTGTTTCAGTGATAATTTTAATAAAATTTAATTCAATATTTTGAGCGTTTTTTAAATGTTTTGCGGGGTTTGAAACTTTTAAAAACAAAAAATAAAAACATTCTCGGAAAAATTGTTCGAGAATTAAAATTTTGTGTTAATTTAAGAAAAAGTCTATATTTAAGGATATTACAGTTAATCAAATATCGTTAATAGTTGAAATGGAACCTCCGAAACCCAAATTTACTTTTATTGAGCCACAGAAATTAATTAAAGCTGCAACAGATATGAAAAGTTGGGAAAATAGTGAAGCTTATTATGATTTGCTAGGATTTGTTAATTCAATATGTATGTGTATTCAGGGAAAAAGTCAAAAGTACAATTGTCAGATCTCACCAGTCGTTCAGAAGCTACTTGACATGCTGGATAAAATGGAAAAAATTGCCCTAGAAACTCCACCGGTTGAGTAAGATAAACACAAGAAATTAAACATACTTATTACGCATTTAATAAGCTATGATTGATGTATTTTTTCAGTCAGCCTAGTCGATTTGGAAATGTTGCATTCAGAACATGGTATCAGAAGATGAAAAGTAATATCGAAACACTAGTTAAGGATGTTGTACCTGAAAATCTTCATGATGCACTACCTGAACTAATTCCTTATGTCTTAGATTCTTTTGGAAATCCTACGAGGATTGACTATGGTACAGGACATGAGCTCTCTTTTATTTTCTTTTTAATGGCTTTCTTTAAAATTGGCGCTCTTAGCAAAACGGATGAACTATCCATTGCAATAAGAGTTTTTGATAAATATTTAAACTTTGTACGTAAACTACAGTTTAGTTATAGATTAGAACCTGCAGGCAGTCAAGGTGTTTGGTCTTTAGATGACTATCAATTTATTCCATTTATTTGGGGAAGTGCTCAATTAATTGGGACAGAGGTTGAACCGGCAAAGTTTGTCGAGCCAGAAACTATTGAGAATTTTCGAAAGGATTACATGTTTATATCATGCATTGATTATATCCAACAAGTAAAGACAGGTCATATTGCTGAGCATTCTAATCAGTTATGGAGCATAAGTGCAGTTCAATCGTGGACTAAAATTTGCACAGGACTTATTAAAATGTATCAAAAGGAAGTTCTTTCAAAATTTCCAGTCATTCAGCATGTGTTGTTTGGCTCAATATTCAGTTTAAATCCTGTAAAACCAGGAACTCGCTTTCCACAAGCACGTTTAGGAATGCCTCATCAACCAGCATGTCCTCTTCCAGCGCAGTAAATTAATGTCTATCATATCAATACCAAATAAAAATTCATTAAGAAAAACAAAACGATTTTTTAAAATTTGAATATTTTTGTGGGGTTTGTAACTAGTAACAACAGTCGTATTTATTCTTTCGAGTTTTATCAAAAGAAAAAACAACTTAATTTACATAGAAATTTGCCAATAATGGCCAAGTTTTTTGGTATAGACAAGCCTCTAAAGTTTCTGTCATGGATCCAGAAGAATGGTGGATTATCCCCAACACTTAGAAAAGGATTTCGGTGAGTTTTTAAATTACGCAATGAAAAAGAATAAAATAATCCAGGAATAAAAATAATTAATGTCAAATTTCAGTATGGATGAAATGAAGGCTGGAACTTTAGTTGGTGTCGATAAATATGGCAATAAATATTACGAAGAACCTTCACATTTCTATGGACGTAACAGATGGGTTGAGTATGCTGAATATAAAAATCTGGAATATGATGGCTCACAAATTCCTGCTGAATGGTAAGACAATACAACGCTGAGTCTCAATAAATCATTGTTAACTCTTATTTTTTATTAGGTTTGGATGGATGCACTATAAGGTAATATTTGAATCTTTCTTTAAAACAAGATCCAGTAATGATTAGATTTTATTTTAGACGGATTTACCACCAAATCGTGATGGAAATCGCAAACAATATAAATGGATGGCTGATCACTCAGAAAATTTGTCAGGAACTACAGGTGACACATTTATCTTGAAAACTGTCAATTTGATCTAATATAATATCCTTTTAACAGATCAATACTTCCCATATTCAACTACAAAACCAAAAGTGGATGCTTGGGATCCAAAAAAATCTGCGTAGATTCAATGTTAATAATTGTATAACTTAGAAAATCACAAAATGCTGTGGTAAATAAATCAGATATTTAAAATCACAGAAAAACGTGGCTCAATAATAGGACATATATTGTAATGATTAAACAAATGTCGGATAAATATTAGGTACAGATTTTTAAAACTTAATACGAGATTATAATTTTGTATCTTCGGATGCTTTTTGTGTTGTTTCGAACGTTTCCTTTCGCTTTAACAGTTTCCATAAAAACCTGCGGATCAAAATAAATTTATTTAATAAGATTTACTTTGCTTAAAGAAGATCATACTTACAAGTAAATGATGAGAGCAAAAATAAAAATAATACCACTAAGAGCAAACATCTCAGAGATATCATGTTCTGGACTTTTAAGAAGAAATTGATAGAACGTCGGGTATACGTATGGAAAAACAAATCCTGCAAGAGCCTCAAAAAGACCCATGATTGCAAACATTGTGCTTAGATCTTCTGCCGGAACAATTTTCGAAATTACACTTCTTGCGCCTAAAAACTTGACTGAATACATAAAATCAATTCCAGTTCCAATGAAAAATACTTCAATGCTTTTTGCAATCATGTAAACACCACGACTAAATATCGACAATATTGTTGAAAATATTATTAAAATGATATCTGCTAATTGCAACATTTTACTAAGCACACCAATTGCCAAACTTGTTCCTATTAATCCCATTGAAATTGTGAAGACATTATGGTAAACATAATAGCTGACATCCCAGTTAAGTTTGACACGACCATAAAGAAACAAGTTTTGAGATTCTCCTTGTGTAATTCCATGCATTAAGAAATGCATAAGCATGAAAAGAATAATGATTTGTCGAAGTCCAAATTCACGCTTCTTAAAGAATGATCTGATGCAGTAAATGGCATGCTGAGGATCGAAAAATTCGAGGCATGCATTTTTACGGAGCATTTCGGAACTCACGGGTTCTTCATTAGTAATGCTTGTATTATTATTTGTTCCATTAATGCTTCTTGCTTCTAATGCTTGATTATCATACGTGTAATCTTCTTTAGGATCATTATTTTTTGGTTCCTTTAAGTAATAGACAGCGTACATAAATCCAATAATATGAACAGGAATCATAGCGCCAAAAAGTTCTGTACACATGAAAAATATAAGACATCTTATGTTTAAATTCACTAAATTCTTGATTATTACCTGCGTAGTCATATCTCGAGACTAAAGTTGGACTGATGCTTTGAGCCACGATTGGTATAACGGTCATTAAAATTTGGAAAACTCCAAATCGAAATGTTCTGTTTTCTTCATTAGAAACTGCTGTCAGATAGCTAAAGATCCCCATAATCATAAGATTCTCTGCTCCAGTCAAACTTGGTATTAACCGGTATGCATAGGCTGGGAATTCAACTGGTCCATTGATGAATATTGCAGAAATAAAAAGTGCTATTTTAGAAACGAAGTGAACAAGTTAGATCCATCTCCTTTGAATATTGAGAGTTAAATTAACTTACAAATATAGCCAAGTGCTTCTCCAATATAAGGAACCAACATACAAGGAACTCTTAGTTTCTTCTTATCGGACCAAGGACCAGCAAACAAAATTATAATAAGGGGTCCAATTGATGCAATTGGATTGCGGATTGAATTTATGAATGACAGCTTTTCTTGAACCTTTTCTTCAGAATCACACAAAAATTGGTAAACTTGAGGTAGCTTATCTTCAATCGATGCGTATAAGACTTCATATTTCTTCTTTATTTCGTCGCTTTTTACATTTTCGAATTGTGTCGCATTGTCTTCTGTCACGAGACAATTAATGCCAAATTCATCCTTTCTGACAAATATTTTGCAAATGTCTTTATTGAAACCAGTTTCAGGAACCACAAGCTCACGACATCCCTTTTCCAAATTCATATTTTCAATTGCAGCATACGTTATCAAAAATGGAAGAAGCCAACAAATTATTAAAGGTTCCACCGTAATATTTTGAAACAACTTATTGATGCTCCCTCCGAGTGTTTGCTTCTGAACCGTATTGTTTTGAGCAGCATCATCATTATTTTCTGCGACATTTAGGACCTCCATGTTTTATTTTTGTTAATTTTGCAATAATTCAAGCTTTTTCTCTTATTTTCATCTAACACATTATGACAACTCTTGACTCACTTCGTGTATAAACAAAACTGAAGATGAGAGTCTCAAATCTGGTTTCACTTTTTTTTAATTAACAGAATGTGAGCATGTTTTGAATCAGGAACCTGTTTATCTGTTATATCTTTATGTTCTCATACTCTTCAGTTTGGCACTCAATTTTTTATGACTTTTTATAAGAGAGCATAATATTTTATTGACAAACTTAAGAAGCTTTTGCACATTGATTGAGTTCTTACTAAGAGACAATTCATTAAATATCGCTGTTTGTTCCACAACTTGATTAATTTATATGATCTTTATGTCTAATGTTAATTTACACATTCTTGTGCTAATTGCAATTTTGTCATTTTATGATGCTTAAAAGAATTGCAACGATTTTAATTTAATTTACTTTCATTAAACAAATCAGCACAGTCGAGCCAGCATTTATTAATTATGTATCTTTCTCTCTAGTTGAATAGTGTAATGTAAAATTAATTGTCTCTGTATGCATGTGACTTGATGTCATAAGGGTCAACCAATGTCTCCTTATATTTTTCTTTTGCAAGAGTCATTAAAAATAAATATTTTTCCCGTTTTTTCAAATAAAAAGAAAAATCAAAAGTTTTCCTTTAAACTTTCAAATATTTGCTAAGAAGAGCTTGGCCTTTTAACAAGACTTTCGATGGTACGGTGTGAATATGTATATCCGCATTGGGTTTCCACCTTATCTGCTATTTTACTTTTACTGTAGAGTACCTACCCATACATTTTATGTTTATACTTTCTATTATTACATAATCAACTACTGCTGGTGTTTTTTTTTTGAATTTATTAATATCTATAATGAGCTGAAGTGGCTCGGTGGCGTAATGATTTAGTACTTTAGCACCTAATTATTGCAATTTCGACACAGCGATCCCACGTGTTCAAGATTCGGCATGGGAAGTCAGTTTTTTAGTTTTCCTTTTTCGAATTATATGCACAGAAAATGAGACTTACAGCCTTCCTTTAGAGGTTAAAGGCAGAGGTGTGGTTCGGATTCTTCTATAAACTGTAGGTCTAGGTTTGAGCGGGAGGACTGGCAAACCTTTTTTTGTTAAACTATCATTAGCTATCATTAAGGTGTGAACTACTAAAGTTTTTTTTTACTAAAATCTTTTAAGTATTTTAAAGTCTTGTTATATCAATTAAATTAGTACCCAGAGTGCTTAGTTTTGATTTTCGTCGTTGCGTCAATGGGGGAAGTATTACAAATCCATCTTTAACATCTTTATTTCGAAAAAAGACATCTGTTTCAATTTAAACAGTTGTTCACATATTTAACGTAACAGGTATTGAACAAAACTTCTATACTTATCAGTATCTTTTAACACTAATACTTTCCATTTTAAGCTTGAAAGTAATACATAGTTGATGATTCTAGTCGAGTTCAGTAGTATTTTTTCTAGAATAGAGAAAGAAAAGGAGCATTTTTATCATGAGAATTAAACAGTAAAATAAATCATGTATCTTAGAAAGCCTTATAAAAGCTTATTTAAACTATGCTTATTTGCATTAGTTACATTATTTTTCTTTGTGTTGACAAATCTGTCAATCCAAAATAAACCGAATTCTGATACTTATTTAGATGACACATTGCAAAATAAGAAAACTGTTACAAATATTTTATTTTGGATAAAATATTGGAATGATCCAAGTGAGTTGCCAAAATTTGTTTTGACTTAATTACTTTAAATTCATATTGCTTAAGGTTGGTATATTGGAGGTGATGAAGAAGGAGAACAAATGTTACAGTCCATTGGATGTCCAGCAAAAAATTGTTTTTTTACCCACAATAGAAACTATCTACCAAATATTACAGATTTTGATGCCATACTCTTTCATGGTGCTGAATATTTGCATGAATCTGTACCACACGAGAGAAGTCCACATCAAATTTATGTTTACTCGGTTCTTGAGTTAGTTTAAGTAGACAACTATGAAAAATATTTTCTAATGCTGTCATTTAATATTTTAGATCTCCTATTTTATGTTTTGAGGATCTAAACAGATTTCAAAACTTTTTCAATATTACCATGACATATCGGTTTGATTCTGACATTCATTGGCATTATGGATCATTTTTCGATAAAAATACAAATGAGCTTGTGGCGCCATCAAAAAATCCAAATTGGAAATTTCCAGAAAATGATTTTTATGGTAAGAAACCCCAAGATCGTTAAACACTTCAATCTAGTATAATTTTTATATTAACACCGTTTTCACGTGTGAATCTATTGGTTTTGTTCAGATTGAAAAATCAGTTTTTCGTATTTTGTGAGAAAATGAAGCAAAATTGGTTATATAAGGTCCGAGAAGAAAAGTTTGTGCCTGAAATTTTACATCATTTGCAAAAAAACAGATTTCAAATTGATTGCGGCATTGCTGAGAAAATACGCTTTCTGTAAGCAAGCAAACAAGTAAAAAAGCATGCAAGTTAATCAGCAAGAAATCTCAATAACGAGACATCGTAAAGACTTCTAGTTTTTTACATTTGATCCGTGCTGTTCTATAGATGAGCTGTATTGTTTTTGGGCAAGGTAGGAACAGCCGTTGCTTCAGAAAAAGCAAAAAACTTTCCTTTCTTACGAATTTTTTAAAACAAAAGTTCACTGTGATTTTTATAAAATTTAACTCTGGATGAAGATTTTTTTTAAAAACTTTTAAAGAATGTTTATTAAGCTTTATACCTTCAAACTTATGCTGAGCGAAGCTCAGCTGACTTATCAAGCTTTACACCTGCAAACTTATGCTGAGCAAATCTTTGTCGATTCATAAAACTTTTGATGGTATGGTGTGAATATGGCCGCATTGAGTTTCTACCCGATACACTAGTTAATAAATTTTAATGTTATTAGATCAAGGAATTAGCAAAATCTACAGCAATAAAAAGCGAAAGATAGCTTGGTTTGCATCAAATTGTAATTCAAATTCTAAGCGTGAAAACTTAGTGGCAAAAATTCAAGAACACATAGAAGTTGATATCTATGGAAAGTGTGGAACGCATAGTTGTGATCCAAAGTCATCAAAATGTGATGAGATGCTTACTACTGATTATATGTTTTATTTATCCTTTGAAAATGCTTTATGCAAGGATTATGTGACAGAAAAGCTATATAGACCTTTAAATGAAGTAATCATCCCAATTGTATTTAATGGAGCCAATACATCTCGCTATGCACCACCTAAAAGCTACATTGATGCCAATGATTTTGAAAATGTAGAGGCGTTAGTAATATTTTTAAAGTATTTAATGAATAATCCCGAAGCTTATATAAAGTATTTTTGGTGGAAGCAACATTATTATATAGTGGATCACAAGCCGACTTTTAAAAGAGGATTTTGTGATTTATGTATGAAAGTTAAAGACAAAAACTATCACAATGAGAATCATTTGTATGGAAATATTAGAGATTGGTGGGAAACTGGAATGTGCACAACGGAAAGTCAAATAAAATTTTAGAATTTTTTTGTGTTTTTGAAGCGTTCTCGTTTATTGGTTAATATATCTATTCCATGGACATCATTTTCATTTAAACCAGCATATAAAAACTTAACACATAAATAACGGAAGATCTGAAAAAATAATTAATTTACTTATTTTTAATCACAGACAGAGAAGAGACATTCATATTTTTGCTAGAAACCAATTTTGCTAAATGTCATGAGGAATCAAGTAATCTGATGATAAGAATTGTTTTAAATTGTCAGCCACATGTTTAGATTCGAATGTTTATTTATTTATGAATTTTATAATCGTTCACGCGATGTCATAAAGTCAATATACGAGTGTTCATCGTTTATAAGCAAAAATATAAATAAATAATAAAATATTATTGAGATAGGTCGTGTGAACTAATAAAGAACATTTGTGATTATTATGACTTATAAAAGTTCGTCAACTATATATAGTCTGTTGGTTTTAGACTGGACAGTTAATTTAAAACTAAATCATCTTTAAATTAAAAAGTCATTGTTTTGTCTAGAAATTTAAGTTTTTTTTTCTATAAAGAATTAGACAAAATACATAAAAAATTATAACCCAAACAAAAACGATGGCTGTTTTTTGATAAAGCTTGTGTTCCTTGAAATATTTTTTTTTTATTTATTCAGCTTTAAAATTCTTTGTTTATTAAGAATTTTCTTTTTACAGTTTTGTTAATTTAATGTCAAGTTTCTCATTTCTCAAATTTGGAACTACGTGGCTTGAAAAAGAATAAAATAAACAATCTTCCTAAATCTAGAAGGTTTTATTTTGTGTTTCTATGCTGTTGATAAGCATTCATAGTCATAAGCATTCATCGAGGGAGGCGTTTTGGGGGTCAAAACATTAATGAACTAAGCTTAGCAACAGTAAGCAAGTTAATAAGAAAATCAGATTAGTCTTTAAGTTTAGAAAACTAATAATTTGCAAGGTCCTTTCTTAAAAATTCACATCAATAGTGACTCTCGATTAATTGTGAAACAATATCTCTATAATAAAAATTGTAGTAACTTAAAGGAACTTCAATGGAAATAAATCAGTTGAATAATACAAATTTCAACAAAAATGAAATGGAATGCAAATCTTAAAATGAACAGGACATAAAAACATGATCATCTATGAAAGTCTCTGTCATCGATAATGATTTATTCACTTTCATATTTAATTATTTTTGCGAGTATTCTAATGATGATAAGCGATGATCCTTCCGTTAAGATTAAAGTCCAAAAAAAGAATGTGTTTGTGACTTCTTCTTACAACATTTTAAGCAGTCAGACGATGTGTGACGTAACGTCTCTTCTTCTTCCTTTCGTGATTAATTTGCATGAGGCGGATCTTAAAGAAATTTATTTGATACTAAACTTTGATGGAAGCTTCCAAATTATTTCCATGATTCAGATAGTTAAGATAGGCTACGATGTCAAATATCAAATTGTTGTTTTAAAAATTGTCGGGGTTCCCAATTTTTATATTTTACTAACCTTTTTCACTATTAATAATTTTTTTTATTTATTTTAAACTTGAAAAGAATTTAATGTGATTTAATACATAATTAAGTTTGTATATAAAAACGTGGGAATACAATAGTAAACTTTTTAACTCTCATCATTTACACAAAAATCCTTATCGTGTTCTTATTTCGAATAGTGAGCATTTAAATATTTCAGGAAAATCGCGAGGTTTCATCAGTCTGAGTTGAAATTTCGAGTGATGAACATTTCTTAAAAGTAGAAACAGTGAATATAATTTATAGTTTAAATTGTGAAATATTTTTTCTGACATAAAGCGGTGACAAATTCAAGACAAATTTTTAACTCAAAGTAAATTTTATTTACATCTTTTCATCAAACCTACAATTTTTCTGTGTCTATAAAAATCGAAATAAGTTGTTGATTAAATTGTACCTTAAAAATTGAATTTAAATTTCATGACATTTTTCGCAGACTTATTAGAGTACTGACCATAAACTTTTGACCAAAAAGCATGATATTAATAAATTCGCGGGTCCTTTTTCATTTTAAAAAAATTGTTTTTTTAATCATTTAATTAAAATGAAAAATTTTATTTGTAAAATTGAAAGATTTATTATCGAAAATCGAGTGCATTATTTTTTTTAAAAAAAACATAGAAAATGCATAGAAGTCTTTTTAAAACAAGCATTAAGTTTTTATACAATATTGTTTCTAAAGTCAAACGTAAATAAGATCTAGTCAAAACAGGCGCGTAGCCCGGGAGTGAAGAGGGAGATTTAAGAAACAAATCCCCTTTAATACCAAATTTTGATATTAAAGGAACATTTTTAATATTTTAAGTGACGTCATAAATGACAAAATAAGACCACTTGTCATAGTTTATGTCATTAGCAAAACCTTGAACTTGATAATGAACTAAAATGATTAAGAAGCTAACGTATGATACTTTCCGAATTTAATTTTAAACATGTGCAGACATAAACGGAGCACTAAAAATAAAATCGGATGAAAAAGAGGAACGTCTTATAAAATTATGCAATTACATATTCAGCTGCTTTAAAGAATTGAAAAGTTTATCATTAAATCAAGAGTAAAGGTTTGATTAGTGTATTATGGATGTTTACCAAAAAAGATCTTAGAATAATTAATATAACTTTTTATGAATTCGAACAAAAATTAAATTGTTTTAAATTCAAAATCTAATTAAGGAACACATGTTAGCTTTCACGCGTAAAATAAAAGATTAAATTATTTCATGAAATAATCTGTTCATTTTCAACAATATATTTTCCTCCTGTATTTTTGAAGGTCACCATGCAAATTTTTTTATATTAATGCAGTCTACAACAAATTTTTATTTTAGTCTTTATTGTCTTTGGGGCCATTCACTTATTACGTAACGCTTTTAGGGGGAGAGGGGGGTCTAAGATTTTGTTACGGTTCAAACAAGGAAATTTTTTTTTTCATACAAATTTTGTTACGAGGGGGGGGGGGGGTCTAAAAAGTCATTTTTTCGCGTTACGTAATAAGTGAACAGCACCTTTCATTATTTCGATTTTTAATGTTGAATTTTAAAAACGATTTTATATTTATAACTACAATTTAACGTTTTTTCTCTTATAGATGAACATAACACTTGACCAAATCGTCGACAATCTCGACTTAATTATTAACTACAAACAACCAATCTTCTGGGCAGCTATTCTTCATGTAATATTCAACCCAGTTTTCTGGAATGTAGTAGGAAGATTAGAAAATAAGTCAAACGCAATTTCACGCCTGTTTGGAAACGACAAAGAAAAAGCATGCTACTTTTTTGCGTTTGTTACTTTCACACTTGGACTTACTCGTGACTATCTCGTATTCTATGCCTGTGCTTTGCAACCAAAAATAACAGATTTCTTGTCATATTATGCAAATATCAATACACCAACAGATTTGATTCAGACAGTTGGAACTTTATTACTCATGTATGGATCTGTTCTTGTATTAACCTCAATGTACAGATTAGGAATCACCGGAACATATCTTGGTAAGGAAATTGACAAACAAATTAAAAAAATAGAAATAATTTATAAAAATAATAATTTCTAGGTGATTATTTTGGCATTTTTATGGAATCTAGAGTTACAGAATTTCCATATAACCTTTATGAAAACCCAATGTATGTTGGCTCAACCTTCTGCTTCTTTGGACACGCTTTAAGGTATGACGATTGATCAAGTTCAAGTTTATAAAAGTTTTAAGTCTTTTTTTTATTGTAGAAGCATGACAGCTTCTGGACTTTTGATCTCATGCATCGTATGGTTGGTCTACAGAGTTGCAGTGATGTTTGAAGGGTAAGTACCAAGTTTATAAGGAACTAAAATGTGAATGATTAAAATCATTTCATATTCACACAAAACATTTTCTATTTAACTAGGCCATTCACAGCAAAAATTTTCGAGGAAAAAGCAAGAAAGGAATCAGCTAAAATCAAGTAAAAGTTTTATTCGTTAAGAATAAAAAGTTTATAAACTATAAATAAGAACAAAAGCTTTCTCTTAGAATGTAATATTCCAAAACATATTATTAAGTGTAAATAAATTTTTAATCTATTTTAAAAACAATATTTTACCTTTTATTAATTATTTTTATATTCACACCGTTTGCACGTGTGAATCTATTGGTTTTGTTCAGATTGAAAAATCAGTTTTTCGGATTTTGTGAGAAAATGAAGCGAAATTGGTTATATAAGGTCCGAGATGAAAAGTTTGTGCCTTGAATTTCACATCATTTGCAAAAAACAGATTTTGAATTGGTTGCGGCATTGCTGAGAAAATCGCAAAATACACTTTCTATAAGCAAGCAAGTTAATCAGCAAGAAATCTCAATAACGAGATATCGTAGAGACTTCTAGTTTTTTATATTTGATCCGTGCTGCTCTATAGAAGAGCTGTATTGTTTTTGGGCAAGAAAGGAACAGCCGTTGCTTCAGAAAAAGCAAAAAACTTTCCTTTGTTACGAATTTTTCAAATAAAAAGTTTACTGTGATTTTTACATAATTAAACTTTGGATGAAAAAATTAAAAAGAATGTTCGTTTCGAGTGAAGCTCAGCTGACTCGCTAGCTTTTCACCTTCAAACTTATGCTGAGCAAGTCTTGGTCTATCCATAAGACTTTTGATGGTACGGTGTGAATATATCCGCATTGGGTTTCTACCCGATACACTAGTTTTGCAGCAAGATTGTTACATTGCTTTATAGATTTGAATGAAATTATAAGTTTATATTTTAGAATTATTTAAAAATGCCAGCAAATAAAGAAGTCTGAAAAACAAACGAGAGATTTAATGTCAGCCAATTTGAACATTTGAACACTAGCTTGCTGTTTAGTAGTATTGTAGCAGCCGAATGAAATATTTACAAAAAATGTGAAATACTTCTCGTTATAACAATGTTGTTATGTTTTATTTCCAATTTTAATTTTCAAATTTCTCCACACTTTTATAAAGTAGACTTTAAACATTTAAATGCTAATCAGAAAATAATTAAATTAAAATAATCACGATTAAAGTTCTTCAGATTTCAAATCATAATCAGTTAAATTCTCATATTTAAAACTTAATTTAAAAATTTGAAAAACTTCAATAAATGCACTAAAATTGATGCGTCTTCTTTTTCCATTGGCCACACCACAACCGGAATTTCTATGAGATTCAATTTCTCTAAGCTCTTCAGGTTCTATGATTTTATAAGCAGCTAGACGCAAATTGTTGAAATTTGGATCTGATTTCGCAATCGGTGAAAGAATTTCCAGAACATTTTTAATCAGTCTTTCAGCTTCTTCGTCATTGGAAGACTTCTCTAGTTGCTTAATGTAACTATCTGCTGTTTCTATTCGATTTGCATTACTCATATTAATAACAGATATGAGCGACAGCCATAAAAAGAGATATTTTATCATTTTGACTCGTTTTAAGAGAAACTTTTCACTTAAAATAAAACTTTAAGACTGAATGCTAATTCTTAGTCGATGAAGCATTCGAGTGAGCTATTCAGAGATGAAACATTCGAGTGAGAAATATACCAGAGATCGAAGCCGATTTTTTCGGCTTAACTCAATTTTTGATTTTTTTGATAGAAAAAAGTCATTTAACACCCATTTCAAGTATTTAAATTGAACTTTACATGCTTTACTATGATTCTGCGAATTATTTTGTCAGCATGTAGCTATAGTGAGCTCAGAATTTCAATTTAGCCGATTTTAAGCCGAAATTTAAGCCGATCGGCTTAAAATCGGCTAAATTGAAATTCTGAGCTCACTATAGCTACATGCTGACAAAATAATTCGCAGAATCATAGTAAAGCACGTAAAATTCAATTTAAATACTTGAAATGGGTGTTAAATGACTTTTTTCTATCAAAAAAATCAAAAATTGAGTTAAGCCGAAAAAATCGGCTTCGATCTCTGAAATATACACGTCATATAAAACGAAAAATGGGATTTTTTGGGGTCATTTAATTTATTTGACACTTAACACAAAATATTATTTATATAAAAATTTGGGGACAAGTGAGAAGAGGGGCTGAAAATGCCATTTCTGTTTGACGTCATAAAAGAATAATCCCCTTTAGATACATGAGAATTTTTTTTAAATAATCATTTGAGTTCGTGATAATTATATGCGTTGGTATGGAAAGAATTTAGCGAAGACACAGTTTTGAATTTTTTAAGCAACGAATATTATCAATCATGAAGAAAAAAATCTATTGCGTAATTTGATAAATAATGAGCATTTATTTAATTTTTTTTTTTATTTCTTAACATGCTAAAATTATAATACACTTTTAAAGAAGCATTATGGTGCAAACATTAACATAGTCCAAGCAACAGCACAGACAGTTAGAAACACTTTTTCCTTCATTGAGCTTTTCTTTTCTTGAGGTGTAAGGCACTCCTCTTTGATCAGCATAAACAAATCTACAACTTTTGTCATTTTTTCCATGTTTGCTTTTGGCTTTTTGCCTTGAGTTGCAAAAAAAATAATGTCTTCAGTCTCATCTATAAGTTGATAATACTCATTTGATTCTTGAATATCAGGAATACAATCCATCAAATTTTGGAACATGATTAAAGCATTCAAATCGTATTCTTGTGATTTCTCGTACTTAATAACAAATTTTGAAAGCTTTTTCTCAGCCAATAAAAAAACTTCTTCCTGATTAATACTTGACATTTATTTTAATGTGTTTCTCTGCAGATTTAACAACATCGACTGACTTTGTACAGTTTTTGTTTAAGAAATAAACAACAATTATTTGTGATAATCATATTAATGAAATCTGAATGGTCAAAATATTATGAATTTATTAGTACTTATTTGCATGAATGATTGTCTCAATAGCGTGATTTATTCTCCGTACAACTTTAGTTGTAAATAATCAAAAAAAAATTATGATAAGTTTTTAGCATGAGCCAGCTTTAGCTTTTAGGTATGTTTTTTTTAATTTGACATCCATCCAATTTAAATTTTTTTATTTGGTAACAAATAAGATTTTTGGCAAATTTTTAACTGATACCTGATAAAACAGAACAAAATAAAAATATTAAATTCTCTCTTTAAAGATGAAGTCTCTTTACGACTTGTGAGAAAAATAAAACTGTTTTGAGTAATTCTCTCTTTAAATATTGTTTATTTGAGATATAAGAAATGCTTATCAAGAAGTTCGAACAACTTACCGTAATCTGAAGCTCTCAATTGCTTTGCCAACAATTATTAAGTCATTGAATTACTGTAGCCGCATTAACATCGAAATTATGGAAGATCAAAATATTATTTATGGAGGTGATTTGGAAAATTCTGAAGCATTTACCTTTGCATCATTAGGAGAAATGATAATTGAAAATTTAAAGAGAAATGGAGAGAAGAGAAATTTTGTAAGTTGATCATCTTGAATTTTATAATTATGGACTTATCAGCATTTTTGATCATAAATTACTTTAAAATGACTGAAAGAAATTTGCTTAAAGGTTTACATTTTAAAACTCTCAATTTTTTTTTGTCTTTATTCTTATCTTTACTTTGTTTAAAAAATTTATCTTTATAAAATCAATATACAAAGAGCATTAAATTTTAAACTTGAGGCACATTATTACAACTTTGCTTTTTTTATTTCAAGATTGAAGGAACAACAGGGAGAACTTTTAGTAACAATGAAATTGTCGAGAGTAGTGTTAAAATTTCAAAAGCTCTTTACAATATAGGAATAAAAGAAAATGATGCTGTTGCAATAATTTCTGAAAATTGTACCGATTTCATCTCAATAGTGTTTGGAACATGGTTTTTAAATGCTGTTTCGACTCCAATTAATGTTACTTATACAGAACGTAAGTGACTGCTATCTCTTTAATTCTATTGAGCATTATCTTTTTATCAAACAAAAAAATTTTATGATAAATATGTTATTTTTAGGAGAACTCAAGCACGCTCTTCAATTATCAAAACCTAAAGTGATATTTGCATCATCAGCTGCTTTGAAAAATGTCATTTCTGCCTGTAAAGAATTGTCATTTGTAAAATATTTAATTCATCTTGATGAACAAAATTTGAAAGAAAATTTAAATAACTTTCGAGGATTTATTAACACTCATTCAAAAAATTCATTTGATGTCTATCAGCATGTAAAATGTAAAGTTAACACAAAGGATAAAACTTCAGTAATATTTCTTTCAAGTGGAACAACAGGCTTGCCAAAAGGTCGCTTTTAATTATTTCAGATTCAATAGCAAATTTCATATAATAAAATACTACATTGCAGGTGTCGAAATCACTCAAAGAAACATAATGGAAGTAATGCAGGGTTACAGTGAGAGTATTAATGAGTACAAAAAGGTTACAGAAAGATTAGCCTCGCTTGCAATTGCACCTTGGTTTCATGTTCTAGGACTTGTGAATGTTGTTATAACGATTCTGACTGGTCAAAGCACTGTAGTCTTTTTACCAAAGTTTATTCCTGAATTATACTTAAAGAGCATCGAGGTAAATATATGCGTTTATTATAAGCTTTTGTTAATAAAGTTATTAAATTATTAAATATCTTTTAGAAATTTGAAATAACCATTTTGATTGTAGCGCCACCAATTGTTGTTTTCTTAGCCAAAACTCCGCTATTTCATAAATATGATCTGTCTAGTTTGAAAGCTATCTATTGTGGTGCTGCTCCTCTTTCAAGTCACACAGAAGAAGAACTTAAAAAGAGGTTCAAAACTAAAATTTTCATAATGCAAGGATATGGTATGTCAGAAACAACTTATAGTATAATAGGATCTCCGCAAGAATTGAAACCTGGAAGTATTGGACATGTTTTAAAAGGCAATTATGCTAAAGTTATTAATGAAAAAGGAAACTCACTTGGACCAAATCAACGTGGAGAATTGTGTTTTAAAGGATTAAGAATTATGAAAGGGTACTTAAATAATCCTAAGGCAACAGCTGAAACAATTGACAAAGATGGCTGGCTTCATACTGGAGATATCGCATATTATGATGAGGATAAACAATTCTATATAGTTGATCGCTTGAAAGAATTAATTAAATATAAGGCATTTCAAGTGGCACCAGCTGAACTTGAGGGTCTTCTCCTTTCAAATCCAAAAATTAAGGATGCTGGTGTAATTGGTATACATGACGAATTAGCAGGAGAACTTCCATTTGCTTTTGTTGTTAAGCAGCCAGGAGCTGATTTAATAGAACAAGAAGTAAACGATTTTGTAGCGGAAAATGCAAGTAATGCGAAATGGCTTCGAGGAGGTGTCAAGTTTGTCGACGAAATTCCAAAAAATCCAAGCGGGAAAATATTACGAAGAGAACTAAGAGAGTTGTTTAGAAATACTCGATCAAAGCTGTAATTTAATCAATTATCCAATAAATAAAACCTTTTTAAATAACGTTTTTATATTAATCGAGTGACTTGTTATCAATCTTTTCGTCAAATGTTATCGGTTAAATATAAACTTCTCTCAGTCTTTTTCTAGCTCTCTGCCAAACTAGAGTGACAAAAATACACTAAGTGCAAAAAAAATAATACTGCCAAAAATGAGTGATCCAAATGTTATTTATGGTGGAGATATAGAAGAACCTGTCAATTATGCTACTTTGGGAGAGATGATGGTGTCGTGCTTTAGAGATGGCGGTGATAAAATAGCATTGGTAATAATTATTAAAAGAAATTGTTATCTCTTAAAGTACTAAAAAGTCTAATAATTTAGATTAATGCAGAAACCGATGAAAAATGGACTTTCAACAAGCTTTTGAAAGAAAGCATCATTATGGCAAAAGCACTTTATGGAGCTGGTATTCGTCAAAATGAAATTGTCGGAATTTTATGTGATAATAGACACGAATTTGCTTCTATTTCGTATGGAACAATATTTCTTAATGCTGTATTAGCACCAGCTAATTATGCATATACTGAACGTAAGTTCAACAATTTAGGAAAAAAATTATTTCTTATCTACTTAATGATATGTTATCAATTAAGGAATTACATGTTGTATATTTTTGAGTGGAATGAAACAGCAAAAAATCGATTGTTCCTAAATTAGACCCCCTTCAATTATATTATCATTATTTTTATTTATTTCTAAGGTGAAGTTAAACATACGTTTGATACAACTCTACCCAAATTTGTGTTCGTTTCATCACTCGCTGAATCAGTCGTACCTGCTCTCAAAAACTTTAAATATGTAGAGAAAATAATTTTAATTGACGGAGAAAATATTGATGACGGAAAACTCATATCATTAAAGAATTTTATCAAAAAATACGGAAATAATGATTTTGATGTTGAGAAACTAGTCCAACAACCAATTGATTTATATGACCAAGTCGCAGTCATATTTATGTCTAGTGGGACGACTGGATTCCCAAAGGGTAAGCTTAATAAAATTGCGAATATAAAATATTGATTAATGAAAATTAAATAGGCGTTCAGACCACCCATGGTAATTTAATATCCTGCGTTGCTTACAATCTTGAGCGAGTAAGTTTGACAAAAGATTTATTTGAAACTAAAATTCAGTTCTCGTTGGCACCATTTTTTCACGGAATGGGTTTCATTGGCAAATTATTTGCAACCACTTCACGAGAGATTACTTTAGCATTTTTAAACAAATTTGATCCTGATTTATACCTTGGAACTATACAAGTAATTAATTTTTAATATTTTAATTTTTAAAATTTGATGAATTTTTCTTTAATACTAGAAATATAAAATTGAGATATTGACAGTTCCACCTCCAATTGTGGTCTTTCTGGCCAAATCACCACTATTTGATACTTACGATTTATCAAGTTTAAAGCTGATAATATGTGCAGCTGCTCCTTTGTCACAAGAAACAGAAACACAAGTAAAAGAAAGGTTTAACAACGAAATATTTCTCATACAAGCTTATGGACAATCCGAAGCAACATTAGCTGTTTTATATGGACAAGCTGGAACAGCAAAACCTGGTTCAGTTGGAGAAATTATCAAAGGAATGAGTGTGAAAATAATTGATGAGCAAACTGGAGTTAGTTTAGGAAAGAACAAAGTTGGAGAATTGTGTCTTAAAGGGCCATTTTTAATGAAAGGATATATTAACAATCCACGAGCAACAGCTGAAACAATTGATACAGAAGGATGGCTTCATACTGGAGATTTGGCATATTATGATGAAGACAATCAATTTTTCATTGTTGATCGCTTAAAAGAACTAATAAAATACAAAGGATTTCAAGTGGCACCAGCTGAACTTGAGGGTCTTCTCCTTTCAAATCCGAAAATTAAGGATGCTGGTGTAATTGGTATACCTGACGAATTAGCAGGAGAACTTCCATTTGCGTTTGTTGTTAAGGAACTAGGAGTAGATTTGACAGAACAAGATGTGAAAGATTTTGTTGCTCAAAATGCAAGTAATACAAAATGGCTTCGAGGAGGTGTCAAGTTTGTCGACGAAATACCAAAAAATCCAATCGGAAAAATTATGAGAAGGGACTTGAAAGATTTGTTCAAAAGTTTGAAGGCAAAATTATAATTTTTTTGGACAAATTAATCATTATAAAGTCAATAAAGATGAGCCACTTAATACCAAATTTATTCAATATTTTAGTTTTTCACCCTGTTATTATTGTTGTATGATTTCGTGCACAACATCAATACACGACTCTCCAGTGTCATGATGAAACATGATTTTTGAATTAGAAACTTTTCCTTCTCCTTCCAATAAGCTTAACATCATTTGAAGTGATTTTGTGTACTTAAGAACTCTTTGTTTTGTTTGACAAAACACATTTGAAGTTTTTACTGTGCATTGAGATGTTGAGTTCAATCCAAGAACGTCCAAAACCATTTGTATTATTTCATTTAAATTCTGTTTTTCATTGCACAGTTCAACTTTTTGATCAAAAACTATAATTTGATTATTCTTTGATGTGATCTGCAACTACATATGTGGAAGAAAATTTAAATTTATAAAATATAAAAATCATCTTGAGTTTGAAAAATCTAAATTTACTATCGATGTAGAATATGATTGTATATCTATACATGATGAAGCTTTTAAATCACATTTGTCATCAAAATATAAACTTGCATTGATTATTTTAATTCTGCTTCTTAGTTTAGGGCAGTTCGTTATCTTTACGGTTTTTTATTTTCCAGTCTCTCTAAAGAATAAGGAATTAAAATCATATAACTTGTATAGTAAATCCAACTTACACAGCAGAAGCTGAAATCAAATATTAGTAAAGTCAAAATCAGTAATTTAAAAGCAAACATCACTATTTGATTCCAGAGCCACATTGAATTCCATAATCTATTTCCATTAACTTATTTATTTCATTTCTTAATTACTGTCAGATTTAATATGAATTTAATGACTTTTAAGCTGAACGAAAACATCAGTTTTAGTAAATATTTTTTTTCAAATGAGAGATAAAAATTCACGGTAAAAACACGACTTACGTACATAGAAAGCCTTTTGCATAGATCAGACTTCATCATAACTTAGAGTCTTGGTCTTTAAATTACTAACCAAGAGGTAATGAATGAATGAAATTTTACATACACGCCACATAGATGCGTGTACAGGGAACTTAATAGTTCATAATTTAGATACTCATGATCGAAGAGTTCAAGCAATTAAGGAAATGCTTCGAATTTTAACGTAAAATGGTCAGGCATTAGTTTACATAGGTCAACAGGAAGACACTAAAGAGACAAGATATATTTACAGCCTACTATGTAGTTCAATCCAGAAGTCAGCATGTGAGGAATTAATCATGTTTAATGATGTTTGAAAATATCAATAAATCATTTTTAAATGAATGCTTTGTGCTTTATGAATAACATTCTATTTATGAGCTTCTTTTTACCACTCTTTGAGCTGAAAATTGCGATTGATTTGATTCATTTAAGAGATGAAATGACTCTTCAAAATTATCGTTTTTCATCATTATTTTCATTTGCCATGCCTTTATTTTAAATCTTTTAAATGAACTGAATAGACTTGACCTCCATGAACATAATCATTTATTTCCAGCAACGATAACTGTTTTATCTCAATTATTCTGATTCTTATAGAAATATATTGAATATGATTCACTATCAGGTATGGCTTGTGCATCAGTGGTACTTTCACTTCGACAACAAAAATCTTTATCCTTAATTTTTGTTAATTTATCAGTCACACGATTTGCTACATAAGATCCAGTGTATGTTCTTGAATCAGTTCCAGTTTAACACAAATGCTTTTATTCATAGTATAATTAATTCAATTGCATTTCGATGAAGAATTTGTACCTGACTTTTTTCTTCCATCAACATAAAAATTCTTAAAAGCCTTTAAGACATTGAAAGCTATAGAATAAATTACTTATGCATGACCTTGCATATTCATCACAGTTTTTCATCAAATTAATGCAATTTAAGTGAAAAAAAAATACATTGATAAACTATAGTGAGCATTGAAAACAATTTTCACTCTTCAACAATTTTCATCGATTCAGCAATGTCAATGAATATGTTATAAAAAGATCATCGATTCCCACAAGCTTTGAAGACTTAGCATATGACCCGATTTTGAGGTAAGTAGAGTAATGAAGTTAAAAAACGAGGGAATTATCACGAAATGAACGAACAGTTCAAGATTTCATTTATTCCAGTAAAAATTTAAGTTTTGATTTGTTTTTCAATCGTGTCGTTTCCCTTTTTTTCAGTTTCTAAAATTCAAAACGAAACGCGATGTTAAAGAGTTTAGTTGAAAGTTAATCTTATGTCTGCAGCCAAACTTGGATTCAAACATAATTGATGTAGAGCCTTTAACTTTAACGCGATGGTTTAAGCAATCTAATCATCTGATGCGGGAGTGAAATACTGCCGTGATACTGAAAAGGCCCTCCTGATCGATTGAGTCACATGCTGCCTTGGAATTTTAAACTTATATGACTCATCACTGAAATGTTGACCACTGACGTCTTAATTCTGCATGATAGCTTCTTCAAGAGGCTCAAGTCTTAAAGAAAGAATCTTCGAGACCACTTTAGCAAGTTACATCGGTTCGTCCGGTAGCTTCTCTTCCATCCACACTATGAGCTCATGAAGAACAATAATCAATTTCTCACATCCCGTCTTGAAAAGCTTAACAGGTAAGCAAACTAGATCTGGTGCCTTGTTGTTTGTATAATAAAGAATCCAAAAAATTTTATTTCTTTAATTTTTCAGTATGTCTCATCGAAAAGAGCCTGTTCTCAACTTGGTTTCAATGTCGCTTGGGTGAATAAGACCTCTGTATAGTAGTTTGTATATGCATAATCAGCAGGCATTGCATGCATTAGTAGTTTGAAGTAGAAGGTAGATTAATATTAGTTGATAGATTGTATGTAGTAGAGGTTTATAATAGCATCTAAACAGACAGCCAAGAAGATTCAAGAAATAATTTTGATAGACTTGATCAAAAATTATGCTCAATCACCGGACTGGGACCACTCTGATTTGGATGACGCTGACTGAAAAAGAACTAATGATGCAGTATCATCAAAAAAATAAAAGCAGAAAGAAAAGAGTCAATAGCGAAGATATGGTAATTTTAAATATGACACAACGCTTTATATTTTTTATTTAACCAAGCTGGTAGAGCGATCACAAAATACAAGGAAGCAAAAACTCTCAGAAGATTACATGGGAGGAAGAACCAAATCTATCAAAAGCACTTCTTGAAAAACAAATCAATGTTTGGGATCAAGAATTTAACAAGTATATACAACGCAAGGACAAAGAGTACGAAAAAAGGAGTTGTGTTTTGGGTTATCAAGAACTCTTTTTGTTAAGGTGATTTTTTCAACTTTGTTTTGCCTATAGCTCCCATGACTGCGTATCCAATTGCTTGTCAGCATGTAACGACATTACCATGCAATTCATTGATGCTTCTTATTTCTTGATGATTAAGAAAATGCCAATAGAAGAACTCTTGTTGAATTTTTCGTCAGCTAGTTTAAGGGTAATTCCATGCTATAATTTTGCTTAAATCTTTTTTCTTATCTTGTAGCTCTACGACGTTTCTCTTGTAACAGAATTTCGTATTATGATTTAATTTGCATCTGGGAACAAGACAGTAATAGATAATTAAACAACAGTTCGACTCAAGATAAAAGTGTGCTTAATCATTATGCTAAATTTTCGCCAACAAGTAATAACCCAGACAGTTTGGAGGGAAGATGAAAATGAAAACTTAAAATTTGAGTATTGGATGTGAACTTTTTAATATGTAAAGTCCTTAAGTTCATCAGACTATAGTGACGCAATGCATGATATGGATCACTAGTTCAATGAAGCATTAGACGATTTTAATGATTATGATTATAAAGGAAGTATCTGGAACGTTTAAGCTTCAAGGAAATGTCTAAAAATATAGATGTTCCGATCAATTTGTTGTTAAAGTTGAAATAAGTACAGCAAAGCATAGAGATGATACAATTACAGTCAGTTTATATCTTCGACAGCAAATAGCAGTTAAGTGCCTTGTGGGTCAAATAGGTAAGGCGCTTGGCTCAAATTTGGGATGGCAACTCGAAGGTCGTCGGTTCGAATCCAGCCATTTCCAAATTTGTTCTTTTTGGGAAGTTTAGATACTTCGACTGCTTAATGTACGAGATCAAGCCATAATTGGGCATTTGGGCAACGTTGGATTAAGGAACGGGTCAGGAAACTTAAGTGTAGCGGGAGAAATAGGAACGAGAGCTATAAGATTACCCACGAATGGAATATTGTTAGAACGGACCTGAAAAGTATCACGTCACGCCTACAGAAGATCGAAACGAGAGCCTTAGTTTACTTGAAACCTAGATTTGAAGATTAGAAGTTTGATCCTACTAATATGCAACTTATAAAAATTCAATTATACTGTCAAATATTCTTCAAGTACGTAATCAAGTAAGCTATAAATAGGGTGACCATCTGCGTAGTTTTACAACGGACAGTCCTGTATTTCAAAACACTGTCCTGAATAAATTTGAAAATTTTGTTCCAGGTCCTGTATTTTTTTCATGAAAATTTACGTTAATTTTCAAATTTTCCTTTGTGTCCTGTATTTTTTAGGAGATTTATCAAATGTCCTGTATTTTCATAAAAATTAGATGGTCACCCTGCCTATAAATAATATTTTTTAAAAAAAAGTAGAAAAGAAAAAAATGAAATAATAACGAAAATTTGGATTTTGAAAGTATGATTCGTTTAGACGCACTAAGGAAAAAAATATTTTCAGTGGATATTGTAAACAAATAAAGTTAATTTGTAAGTAACTTTAATTAAATAGATGATTATATATAAAGTAACGCTATTAATTCATTAGATTACTGATTAAAAAACAAAAATTTAGTCATGCCAAAAGGAAAATAATTAAATGAGACTGAAAAGGCTGTAATTGATCAATTAACATCGATTGAGCTGTTCAATCGGGATATTGCGAAGCGAATTAATAGAGACGAAAAAGTAGTAAGAAATTGTTTAGCAAAAGGCAAAGATTATGACAAAAAGAAG